AATAATCCTCAGCATACATCAAGAAGTCAGTAAAAATGGGCTCTCTACGTGGAAGGCGCCGATGTCGATCCTCCCACAACACGACCCACTCATGATGCCTCACCAGCCAATCTGTATTTGTCTTGCCGCGTCTATCTAAGCTATGCAACTCGTTCATATTGCGAGGTGCTTTCGGAATTGGTTGAAAACAACCAAACTGCCGGAGCACGCGATCAATGGAGTGCCACTCGACGGTCGCATAACAGATCAGAGGGACCATCGCTATCCAAACATCTGATGGACCCCTCAACTCAGGTGGGATCACCGCCCTCACATCATCAGTAGAATATGTCACACATTCAAACTAAAACAAATAATATATAATTTTTATCAAAATAATAATCTAATTATATAACTATAATCTAAAATCGATTTGTATACATTAAAATTCATACCTGTGTGCCAGCCTTCTGATCGATTAGCACCCTATTTTTTTTCTAAATCATCAGGTAGCTCCTGATGATTTTTCCTATCAGTAGACTACCTATTCAAGGAAAAAAATTGTTATACGCTGTATAAAATTATTAATATACAAAATCAATTTTATAATTACCTCAGAAGTAGTGAAAATACGAATGGGTTCTTTACAACATGACATAAAAAGGGCAATTGATACCATGTCCAAGACTGCAGCAGCAGGAGACATCCGCCGATAGCATTATGTCTGTAGTCAGTGGCTCCACACATCTCCCTGTACAACAAAGCCAAAACTGCCGAGCCCCAACTGAATGATCCAGCGAGACGAAAGTCGCTAAGATGTCGCAACCACATGCAGTGAACTAGGTTGCGCGATTTGTCCGGCATCGGCAACCCTCCTATCAACTGCAGTATGCATGGCCGTAAATACATCTTAACCTCATCCTCAGAGACGTCTGTGCTCAACTCCCGAAAATTGACATCTAACCAATTTAACGGTATCCTACCTCCTATAAAATTTTCCGGGACACGTCCTAGACTATCCCGACACAAAGTAGTCCAAGAACCAGAAGCTATCCCCGATATCACATCTCCATCCACCGGAAGCCCCAGGTGCATAGAAACATCCTCAAGCATGATCGTGCACTCTCCGCACGGAAGATGGAATGTGTGGGTCTCCGGCCTCCACCGCTCTACTAAGGCAGAAATCAGGTCTGGCTCTATCTTACAGTGACCCTGATATCTACCTATGTAACCGAATCCAACCTCTACTAAATACGGCAAGACACGGCTGTATATCACTAACTTAAGATTCCTAATAAAAGGATCTAATACACGGTCATTCTCCTAAAAATAAATAATTACAAAAATTAATTATTACTCTAATAATCATGCATTAAATAAATCAACTAATTATTACTAATAATTTAAATTAAATTAAAACGTTAAAATGTTACCGTATCATCAAAGTGTCGAGATATTTAATTATTAATCTAATAATCATGCATTAAATAAATCAACTAATTATTACTAATAATTTAAATTAAATTAAAACGTTAAAATTTTACCGTATCAGCAAAGTGTCGAGATATTTAATTCTTAATCTAATAATCATGCATTAAATAAATCAACTAAATATTACTAATAATTTAAATTAAATTAAAACGTTAAAATGTTACCGTATCAGCAAAGTGTAGAGATATATGATTTCCATCCGAACGAAGTAGACTGTCTTCCATTATATATCTGCAAAAGAATTATATTAGTAAAATATTAAATAAAGTAAATACATAATAATAAAAATATTATAAAATATACCTTAAAAAGATAGAGTATTTGAGAGAAATTTATAGAATCTGGTGTGATAAAAGTGATTGAGGATAGGGGTATTTATAGGGAGGATGGGGACGTGTATTTAGGGGTATAGCGCGCCCCCTGCACCGCGCTATACCCCACGTGTCAGATACCCATGTATAGCGCGGATCAGGGGGCGCACTATACCCACGTGGCGCCAGATCACTGTATATCGCGGGGCAGGAGGTGCGCTATACCCACGTGGCGCCAAATCAACGTATAACGCGATTCAGGGGCGCGCTTTATTGTTATGGGTGTTAGATCGAGAAATATAATCTGACCGGTGTTAAATCGATAAATATACCGTTCACAGTTGATTTATTGAAAAATTGCCGTAAATTTTATCTTTTAAAATCAAATCAAACTTCAGTTCAAATAAAATTTTCTTTAAGTTCAAATATAATGTAATGATGAATAAAAAAATATTATACTTGGGTCAAATTTAAGTAAGCCAAAATCCCATCAAAAATATATGAATGCTTAATGAATTGAGTAGTTTGTAAGTAGTTCAAGTTTGATTTGATCAAAACTCGATTAAAGCTCGACTTGAGTTAATTTGATTGGACTTGAATTCAAGTTTGAATTGAGACCTTAACAAGTTGTGTCGGATAAAGTCAAACTCGACTCTATAAGTTCGCGAGCATCTCATTAATTTTTTTCTATAATTTTTAGTAGTTATCTTAAAAAAATATTTTATTCAAAATATACTAATTTATTAAAAAAATAAAAGGTGATAAATTACTAATCTATTAATTTTATAATAAATTATTAAACTATTAATTAATAATTATTATTTTACTACATCCAAAAATTGAATCTTAATTATTATTTTTATGTATTTGTGGATTGTAATTTTAGAGTTTAGACTTTAAATTTGTTATCAAATCTAAGTTGAATGCTTCCCAACTCACTTAAGTTGAACATTATTCAACTCAAGATCGACTTACGCATCCTAACATGTTAGATAACACTTTAATTAGGAATACAGCAGGGTTCGACAATCTGTTAAAAACTGTGAACTGGGTCAAGAATAAAAGCACTTTGGTGTTCAAATAGGATTCTTTGAATTGCCACTTCAATCTTAAGGAAAGAGCGGCAGTGGGATTGGGAGAGGACGAGCCTGCTGGGCGGTCGCCGTATGCTCATTGGTCACCTCTGCCGAGTAACTTTACCGCGTTTCAGGAATGTAGTTGTAGGTAGGATGGCAAAAAAACTCGAACCCAACGGGGAAAATCAAAAATCGAATTAAACGGGACGGGAAAAAATCGTTTATGCTAAACGGGGATGGGAACGGATTTGGTAATCCCCGCCCCGATTACCCGTCCCGATACCCGTTTATGCTAAACGGGAATACCCGTTTCCCTGCGGTTTTTTTCGATTATCCGATGGAGATCTCCGTTTAAATCCCCGCGATTTTTTAAGCGGGGACGTGTATGAATTTTTTAAACGGACACGGGGGACCAATACCCGGCCCGTTGCCATCCCTAGTTGTATGATGAATTATTTTTTCTGCCTTTTCCCCTTTCTTTGTATAAATGTATAATTGCTACATCAATTTTGGGTAAAGTACATAAATGGTACTCCGACTATAGGATATTATTTTATTAAATCCATCAATTATTAAAAGTTATAAAATGGTCACTCGACTATTATTTATATTCCAAACTTGTCTTTTTCTGTGAAAAAAATGATGATATTTTGATCTGAACGTTAACATGTTTACTGTGATATGATAAAATTTGATCTGAGAATTTCAAACAATTATCATATCTCAATTCATCATGTTAACGTCTAGCTTAAACAACAACCAATTTTTTAATGGAAAATGATGAGTTTGGAACATAATGAATAGTCGGATGACTATTTTGTAACTTTTAATAGTTAAAAGACTTAACAAATTTCATTCTATAGTTGAATGACCATTTCATAACTTTTAATAATCGAGGGACTTAATAGACCAGTATCACAAATTCGAGGGACCATTTGTGTACTTTACCCTTAATTTTTTTACCAATTATATGGGAACACTTGTCATCATAATAACATGGAGGTTAACTACACGGATTATCACTCATGTTCATTGATTTTCAAAGAACATAAGATATTATCACTTTCTTTTTTATTTAATTAAAATATGATCACTTTCGTTTTTATTTAATTAAGACATGATAGTTAGATTAATTACACATTTGATCCATGTTATTTACATATTCTCTCAATTTAATCATACTTTTAAATGAATTTTAACATAAAATATTTATTTTTAAATGAAAATAAAAATAAAATATTTTTAAATTAAGTTTAATAAAATATATTTAATAAGTTAATATAAAAAATATTTTTTAAGTTAATATATAAAAAATATTATGAATTTAAGTATTTATACACTCATATACAAAAATATATAAATCATATTGTCTACTTTAGACCAAGCAATTGTCTTAGCTTAATGGTTGGATACATGTTTAGTTTCTTAAGTGATCAAGGTTTGAGTCTTTTTTGCCCCAATATACTTTCTTTTGTTTTCTTTTAACCGGAGGGTAACACGTGTCACTCTTTGATTGGTGAAAATAAATATATTAAACTATATAAAGTTAGTCCTCTAACCGAATGGTGACACGTGACATGACATGTGACATCATTCGATCGGAAGATTAAATTTATTTTAATTTATTAAAAGTATGACTAAATTGAGAGAATATATAAATAACATGGATCTAATGTATGATTATATCAAAATACTTAACTGTTGTTAATGGCAGTTAACTCGGGATGATCACATCTTAATTAAATAAAAACGAAAATAATCATATCTTATGTTTTTTTTATTAGCGATCAAAAGTGGACAAAACACAAACTTAAATGTTCATATATGCGGTTAACCCTAACATATATCACTATAATGATTAAACTTTTTGAATTTAAAAGGGTGATTTCAGAAGCACAATAACACCATGTTAAAACTTAGAATTCTAGGGGAGAAAACCCATGTAGGATTCATATTATAACATTTTGTTTGATATTGCCACAAATACCTAGTGGGTTTATTACATCTTACTGGTTATTTTACAAGGTATAATTCACCTTTAAGACAACAAAACAACATGATAAATCCCCATTTTGCAGCATAATAAGACCGCACATGCATATTTAACCAAATCTTAGAACACCCAAAGCTGGATTCATTGCTAATAGCTTAGAAATTAGAATCCCCCATCTCAGGCCTTAGGTTGGAACCCTGCTTTGAGCTTCTGAATTGTGTCAACATCAGTTTTGAATGACTTTGCCAAGACGCCATCATCGATATTCGTTGCAAACACGGTAGAAGGAACCAAGACAGTGCCGGCAGCTGCACTACCGAAGGCCGAAACCGCGACTGCAAAATCGTTCTCGGCACAATTGAACTGATAGTGGACTAGTCCCTTGGGAAATACAAACATGTCACCAGCTTGAAGTCTTTGTGTAAACAGCTTGTTAGTGGTGTCAACAAACCCAACTTCAAGAATCCCATAGGTGAGAAACAAAAGCTCGGCGGCACGAGGATGCGTATGAGGAGGGTTAACAGAGCCAGCAGGGTACTCTAACACAGCGTAGGAAACACACTGGCCATTAAGGGCAGGGAACTCAGCCATGGTTGCTTTCGTGACGGTAAAATTTGTTGGTGGAGGAGAGTTAACGAGTGGCCTCATGCCGGTATAGGTGAAGAAGTTTCCATCCAATCGAGTGTTATTGGTTCCTGGTGGAACCACAAAATCAGAGAGAATATCAGGATCTCCACTTATTGCTGAGAAAGGGAAGGCAATAACTAGAATTGCTAGGAAAATTTGTTGCTCGACAGTCAAGGCCATGGCTGAGATAACCTAGGAAACAATGGTGCAATGTCTTTAGACATCAAAAAGATTTTCATATATATATATACATGGGAGAGTTTCTTGGTATTGTCGGTTACATATTTGTTTGATTGTTAATCCTGTGAATTTGTTGAGAAAAACGAGTCAGAAACACGGCAGCTATAGGTTCAAATTTTCTTGTGTGTTTCGAGGCTTTCTTTATTTGGGAATCTCAGCATGTTCTTTTAGTAGATCCATATATATATATATATATATATATATATATATATATATATATATATATATATATAGACCCAGTTTTTGTCCAGATTGTCTTTTTTATTTTTTATTATATTAAACATTTATTATTATTATTCATATTATTATTATTATGTTGTAGGCCTAAACTGGAGCCCAATTACAAAACCAAATCGGGACCAAATCAAACTCAAACCCAAAACAGACCCAAATTAAACCTAACCCTAATCTACCCTAAACCCTAGCCCCTATCCAGCCGTCACCGCCACCTTTCACTGCCAGCTTTTTCCACCGTCGTCTGTCGTCACCGTCGCCTATCAATCAACCACTGTCGCCGCTGCCACCTCCAGTCATCATTACCTACCGTAAAAATTAAAAAAATCACTATAAAAAGAGAGGGAGAACGGGGAAGAACCGGACGAAAAAAATCGAAAAATGGGAGAGACAAAAAAAACAAAGGGAAAAGGGAGGGCTTACCTTTGGTCGGAGTTCCTCGTCGGCGTTCGGAGGGTTAGATCGTAGATTGGGACGGTGAAGAGGTGCGCACGGGTGAGGGGAGTAACATATTCCGAAGCCGAGTCGCTCTGACGGTCGGGTTAGGATATCGGAGAGAGAGAAATCCGAATAGTTTCGTCCTCAATTCATCGACATCAGGACATTTTCTTCAAAATCGGACCCCAGATCCGTGATCAGGACATTAGAACAAAGCTCCTCGTAAAATTTGGAGTCCAACAATCACCGTAGGACGGCAGCGTACAGTGGCTAGCAGCGGAGCCACTCGTCGGATTCTGGAGCATAGATAGAAACAAGTGAGTGAAAAAAAAGAGGGGGAGATGAAATGAAAAAAAAAGAAGAAGAAAAAGGGTTATATAGCAACATCGAAACGATATTGTTTTGGGCTCTCCAACCTGTGAATTTCAATCTTCCAAAGGATAACCCTTTTCGCGATACCTCCACATTTTTCAATATTTCAATTTGGTCCCTAATTGCACAAATCAACTTATGTTCTTTGTAATTTGGACCCCCATAACTTTAATATATGTAATATGGTCACTAAACAAAATCCACACTTTTGTATCTCAAGCCTTCAATTTCACACCCGTTTCATTTTAGTCCTTTTTTCCATTATTTGTGTATTTACGGTTAATTATTGACTTTAGCCATTAATTCGAAATTTGTTTTATTTTAGTCCCGATGTTTGTTCTAAGCTTAAAATTGTTTTATTTGCACTTCAAACCCCATAATTTTTGTTCATTTTTGTCATTGTTTATATTTATTTATAAAATTAAATATAAATGTTAAATATCTCGTTAGTTCCCTGTAAATCGTTGTGGTCGTGATTTAGTCCTTAGAGTGTTTTTATTTGTTTTTTTTTATGAATTTTATTTTTGTTTTTTGTAAATTTTACTTTTTTATGTATATATATTTTTATTTGTGTTCTTTGAAAAATCGTTGTAAGTATTTATATTAACAAAAAAAAGGTTTTATGTCATTCTAAAATTATCTGATATTATTAATTGTTCGACTAATCCAGGGAAGACTTCCAAACACCTAGAATGTCCTTCCGAGGGTTATTCGAATAAAGTTACTCTAATATGATTAGTTGTTACTTATTAAGTTAATTAAATATATTCTATTCATTTTAAAATATTTCCTTGCTAGATGATGTTTTATATACTTTTTTCTTAGATTTTAAATGTTTCTGCATAATTATTTTAATAAGTATAGATGTTCAAATTTCTTTTTTATGTATCTATTTGTTTATCGTACTATTTGTTGCGTTCATATGTAATACATTTTTTTCCTGGTTTTTCAAATTAATTAAAGGCATTGTTGTCTTGCGTCGTGGGTTAATAATATTTTGTTCAACATGATTAGATTTCAATTCTAGTTAATTTACGTAGTGGGAGGATACCTTTTTAAATAAAATCGAGTGAGTTAAATTATTTTCATCGAGTAAGGTATTTTATAAATAAATTCATTCATTTTTTTGTCATTGAAATAAAAGGATCGTAACTCAAATATTGAATTCAAATTTGTAAAGTTCCATTATTTAGACAACATATAATTAAATGTACCAATTTTGGGCGTTATGCGTGTGCTTCCCCACGCGTAACTTATTCCTGAATTCTTAAAAATGAATTTCTGATTAAACACATATCACTTTTGTCTTTTTAAATGTATTTTTCTTAAAATTGTTTTAAAAGACGTTTTTAGGTATCCGACCTACCTAATTCAAAGGTCGATGACGACTCTAAATTTTCAAATTAAATGAAAATCCAAATTTACCAAAATAAATTCATAATTTTTTTAAATTTAATTATTTATAAAAAGTTATTATGATAATATATATATATATATTTAAAAAAAGAAAAGGCATATCAAGATTTATTAATTTAAAGATATATTTTTTTGAAATAAAAAAACACATATATTGTATTAACTTTTGAATGATATTAGTGTACATTGTGACGATGATTAGGGACCTCGAGTACCGCAATAAAATATATGTCAATCACTTATTGAATTATCAATGTGAAAATGATACGTGTTCAGTAGAGGTCCAAAGTTTAGAAGAAATTATAACTAGTGTTACTGAAAATCCTATTAAATATGAAGCTAAAGACGATATAATATATTTGCAATCAATTACGCGAAAGTAAACACTTATAGTGACAACAATTCTTCGTAATTTTTTGTTGCAATAGAATGCAACATCAGAATTTTTAGATGCAGTAAAAAAAATTAGATTTAAATTTTAAGAATAAACAAACAACAATATAATTATGTTTTATTAAATTATCTTAATTATATTTAAAATTTTTATAGAATTAGTAATTTATAATATTAAATGGACCATAAATTTATATAAGATCTTTTAAAAAATTAATATTTTATTAATTTATCGAATATTAATTTATTTATAGAATTTTTAATGTATACCACTCTAGTCGATTAAAAGAATATTGTTATTACTTTATAGATTATTAGCTTACATAATCACGGAGAAAATATTTTTAAAAAGAAAATTATATTTTTCCACGTGGATACATGAAATAGTTTATCCTAAACACGTCACTTAAAACGCAGCCGTTTTTCTTCTTTGAGGGTGGTGGGTGGGCGGAGGGAAGACGTCTCTCTGCAGAAACCGTCGTCTACAAAATCAAGTAAATTACAAAATAACCCAAAGAATTAGATATTCTGCAGAACTTGGAAAGAAGAAGAAAGGAAAATGGCGTGTCGTTTCATTCTTCAAAATCCTTCAAAACGAAAATTACTTCATTCCACCTTCGCTTCCAGATCCGTAATTTTTCTTCTTTTTTTCTATATCTAATATTGGCTGTAGAGTTGAAAATTGTCCTTTAATTTATTTGATTTTTGTTATTTTTTTAATGGAAAGGCAAGTACTTTGGTCTTAGCGGAGCATGAAGGCGGTTCGATCAAGGCCCAGTCACTGAGTGCGGTGGTGGCTGCCAACTCCATCAGCCGAGACAATCCCGTTTCCTTGCTACTGGCTGGCTCCGGCTCTTCCCTTCAACAAGCAGCCGAGAAGGCTGCCACGTGTCACCCTTGTATTTCTCAGGTAACTTTACGTTATACCATTTGTTATTAATTACTTCGATATTAGTAATTTGTGTAAAGAATGGTAATTGTTTCATGAGTGAATATGTTTTCTTTGTAGGTGCTTGTAGCTGATTCCGATAAGTTTGCGTACCCTTTGGCTGAGCCTTGGGGTAAGTTAATCCAATTGGTTCAGCTAAAAGGAGGCTACTCTCATGTAATTGCTACTTCAAGTTCATTTGGGAAGAACATATTACCTCGTGCTGCTGCCCTTTTGGATGTTTCTCCTGTTACTGATGTTGTTGAAATTAATGGCCCTAATCAATTTATCAGGTAACTCTATGATGTCATACTATCTGTTTAATTTAACAGTGTGTATGCACTGTGGTGGATACTCTTTGTATGTGAATAGTTATTGCTTGTCTTGCAAGTTAAGTTAATCGAGTTGTGTCGATACACTTGAGCTTTCAAAACAGTGGACTTCTTTAAGAATGACACCTCAATTAAAGTTTAGGAGGAATTGCATTTTGCTAACGTTATCTAGGGGTTAGTGTCAGATACAGTAAGTGTTTGTCATATTTAGAGTTTCATACCCGTCGTCCCATTGTATGAATGTGCCATATACAAGTATTAGATATGGGTACCGCCGTATCTGGAAAATGATGAGTCTATGCAACATAGGTATTTTGAGGTCTGTCCCATGTCTGCTAGTTGGTCACTTGGTTGCTGGTCTAGGGTCATTGGGTCTTGATTTTGAATTGTACCAAAATTATTAGGTTGTGTAATACTTGCAGCTTCTTGTGAGTCGTGGTCATGGTCGACTTGGTTCCCACATGAGTTTATGAGCGGTAAGTAACTTCTTGTTTCTTAATGGTGAAGAACAAATAACCAACTATGACCACAGGCATAGCTTCTAGTGAGCTGTTTCTTTGTTCTTGTCCATTAAGAAACTGAGTTGATTACAAGGTTAGAACCATCAAAAAGCACTCAATGCTTATCTTGAACTATGCATAATCCTAATGTGAATAATGAATCTTTATTTTGCCGATCCTTATTTTGTATCATGCATGATCCTATATGTCAATAATGAACCATTATTATGCCTCTTGTTAAACTGATTTTGATTCAAGATGTACTCCTTTCTCTGTCACAGGCCTATTTATGCTGGAAATGCCCTTTGTACAGTTCGATACACTGGTGCCAGCCCTTGTATGCTATCAGTTAGATCCACCTCTTTTCCGGTGCCTCCTTTGGGTGATTCAAAATCTGATGGGGCTTCTATTTCTGAGGTTGATCTCTCAACCTTAGATGAAGGTATGTTTTCCTTTTACTGATGCATAGATGTTCACATTGACTTTTCTCTGCCTTGTAAGATTTTTTGCATTCCTGCTTCAAAAAAGGAACCAAAAAAGGCTTTTGTGTTCTTGTAGTTTCTGATGGATGTTTCTTCTGTGATCAGAATTATAATGTCGAGAAATTCTATCTTAAACCAAGGAAGGCTTGTGTTCTCTTAGTTTCTGGTGGATGTTTCTTCTGTGATCGGAATTATAATGTTGAGAATTCTATCTTAAAAAATTGATCAGTACTCTCTCGTTAAATTCATTTGGGTATTGAGTTTGCAATGAGAGTCTATTTCGTGTTTTGACCTTCATTCTTACATTGATTGCAGAGTCTATTGGTAAATCTAGATTCATAAAGCTATCATCCGAGGAGACAGATCGCCCTGATTTGGGAAGTGCAAGAGTTGTGGTTACAGGTGGCAGAGCTTTGAAAAGTGCTGAGAACTTCAAAATGATAGAGAAGCTTGCAGAAAAACTTGGTGCAGCTGGTATCTTCAAGAACACTACTATGTCGAACTTATAATATCATCCATTTCATTGTTTCCTTGTCACACCACTTCTTCGATGAATATATATATATCAGATTTGTCAACGTGATCTATTAGTCTTTGTTTATTTTTTTACCATATCATGCTTACTGGTTCTTACCTTTTGCTATAGTTGGTGCTACCCGTGCTGCTGTTGATGCTGGATTTGTTCCCAATGAACTTCAGGTAAGATACATATGGTTCTTTCCTGCTTACAGGTTACATGCATGCCATAAGGAGCTTGTATCGAATGTTACAATTAGCACATTTTGTTATTGGACACCTTACATATGTTTTTCTTCCTCGTATCCTCCGTAATACTTATTCTTTTTGTCAGGTTGGCCAAACCGGAAAAATTGTAGCCCCAGAACTATACATGGCATTCGGTGTTTCAGGAGCCATTCAACACTTAGCTGGTATGAAGGATTCTAAGGTTATTGTTGCTGTCAACAAAGATGCCGATGCACCCATCTTCCAGGTGACCCTCCTTTCCTATCCAGAGATGCATCTGTCATTAAGAGATGTGAATGCATGCATGCATACATGAATAGGGTGCACATATGACCTTTGATTCACACAAGTCTGAAACCGATTGATTCTCACTGCCATTCTATATTTTATACGGTGCAGGTAGCCGATTATGGACTTGTAGGTGATCTTTTCGAAGCGATACCAGATTTGTTAGAGAAGCTTCCTGAGAAAAAGTAGGCCGGTAAACTTCTCAAAGTTGCAAAAAGTAATGACTGTTGTTTAAATCAGAGAATCTAATTGAACAGAGATAAAACAGATGATAACTTGTGGTATTTTATCACATTAATGAACTCTCTTCATTTGCGAAGCACTCAAAATTATTCAAAGGATCAACGTTTTCTTTCTGTGTATAATTTTTAAAGAAGGATTACAAGAATAAACTAAATTGGACTTCAATCTCAAAAATTGCCGGGAAATAGGAAAATGTCTGAACGAAAGAAAAAGAAAATAATTTCAAAATTTAAGTAAAGTAGTTCGTTCAAGCGCATCTAGTGTAGTGGTATCAAAGTACCCTCCCACGGTACTGACCGGGGTTCGATTCCCCGGATGCGCATTCCATTGTATATAAATTTTAATTCTTGGAAACTGAACCTCCTTTTTTCCTAATTCTTTTATGATCCAACGAACCTCCAAAAACATGTCTTCCAGAAACTCGAGATGTTGTGTGAAGAACAATAGCAGCTGTTTCCATTCATCTCAGGCGTTTCATCATCATATAACAAGGAGGAACTGCCGTTGATCTGCTCATAGAATCCATGGGAAATTGGGACATCTTCAACGTATGAGATAACAAAGGGAAGACAAGTTCAAATTCTATTTCTTTTAACCCAATTAGTATTAGATTAATTGCCAATTAGTATTAGATTAATTGATCAATTTGCTTTATCGTGTTAGATGATAAGCGAAGAGATGTTATGTTCGGGTTAATATCAGATGAACTAAAAACTCGATCCGACTCATAATCATTTTCAATATCAACTGTTTTTTATTATTTTGAGCTGAATACAAAATAGTATATGATAGAAATATTTTCAACTATTTAATAACAAATGCTTTAACATCCTTACAGGTGACGTTCTCGAATCCATAACTTTTAGAGATAACAATAATCTTTTTAACCTCCCAATGTATTTGGTTTGTGATCAAATAGTGGGTTGGTGAATAAAATTATAAGGCAACTAATAAGATAGTTTTTCTCGTACATGAATTCACTAAAAACAATTAATATTTTACTATTATTTTTACATTTATTTTTTTTTTGTTATTTGGTAATTTACTAACTGATTTGAAATATTGGATAAAAACTTGATGTATCTCATAAATCCATGCCCTAAATTTGGTAATAACAATGATGTTTTGACTAATTATGGCTAAATAATCAGAATAATGACCAAAACTAAACCGAAATCATGATTTGTTGGCTAATTAATAACTTTATTTTATTTTCACCCACGAAGGTTGGCCTGAGTGGAAGGGGCTCTGGTCGCTTAAGCAAGAGGTCTCGAGTTCGAACCCTTGTGGATGCAGCAAACTTTCTTGGGAGAGGTCCCTACAATTGTGCCCGACAATACCTCGAGGGATTAGTCTCCGGCGAAAGCCGGAGGATACCTATGGGATACCAAAAAAAAAAAACTTTATTTTATTTTCTACCTCATTTTCTCTCTTTCCATCATTATTTTTTAATAACTTTAACCAACCGATAAGGTGATAATACATGTTATCATCTTATTCAATTAAAATGAAAACTAAATTTTAATTTTCACGAGATAAAATAATTTGTGACCAAAATGAAAAAAAAAATAATAGTTAGTGACTAATGGCATAGTTCACCCATTATCAGTGGTGGGTACAGAGGGAGATTGGTGGCCTGATCCCCCCACTTAGAAAAATATCCAAAAAAAAAACTTAAAATATATTTAATCTTTATAAATTTAATTTTTAAAAATAATTTCTAATAAATTTATTTATTTTAAATAACCAATAAATAAGGATGATTTTCGCCACTGTTACTTGTTTTAACAAAAAAATAAAAATAAACGAGAGACATCACGGGGGTAGTTCATGCCTAGCACGTGCACCCCAATATGCATTTATTTTGTTGGATTATGTGATGTCATGACCAAACACTTTCATTTTTTGAAACGTTTTCTTCTTCTTTTTTCATACTATTTCTTTATGAGGAAAAACAAAATACGTTTTATGAGTGGGTAAACGACACAAATGGTCACTAAACTTTGAGTAGATTTTTATTTTTCCCACTAAACTTTCAAAAGTTACAAACTAATCACTACTGTTGTTGATCTGTAACAAAATAGTCACTCGATTTAACACTCGAACATTGCCTCCGAGCACATACCGAATGATGTCAGAGGGAAGCGATCAAAACCATGTCAAACTCTAAAAAAACCAATGTCCAGTGAAAGGACAAACCCCTAAACTCCGAAAGGCATGGTAGACGAGAGAAAATAGAAAGGTAAATCAGAAGAAGAAGAAGAAAGGTGAATACAAAGGAGAAAAGAAAAAAGAGAAGTAGTGCAAAAGACACAACGAGAAGACGAGCGTAGAAGATGAAAAAGGGGGAAATGAAGAGAAAAAGAGTAGGCGAGTGATCGACTACTAATTCGAGGCTGGTGTTGCCATCGACAGTAAAATAAAATTTGAAACAGAAGTAACGACACAAATAGAGAGAAAAATAAGATTTGACCTTTTTTTTGCGTGTGACGATGTAAAGATATAACTTTATTATACTTTCAACAAAAAACAAATAATATATTTATTTATTCGTATGTCTTCTTAAAATCGTCCCAAGATGATGGGTATAATAAAGTCGTCGAGTCAAGTTAAATTTGTAGTTTTGTCTCTTAAATAAGTTCATTAGGCAATAATTTTAGTTCTAATTTAGAAGTATTATTATTTAATATTAACAAATTGTTATTATTCTTATATTATGAAAAAAATAGTATAAAAGTAGGAAATAAAGAGAGAATAGAAAACATAAAGGGTTTAATAATTAGTTTAGTTTCACGACAAAAGTCATTGACTTGATAGAAGTGAGAAAACCAGAAAGCAAAAAGAATCCGCACTCTCATGAAACTGACAATTGAAACCGCCACGTCAGCAGATAACCTGAAGAGCCAGTCATTTTCAACCTGGTGATGCACTCGTTTCCTACGTGCCCACCAGACTCGTACACTTTCTCAATTTGTACCTTTTTTCCCCTAAAAAAATTATATATAAATAAGCTTTTTGGGTAAAATTTATTTGTAAAAAAAAAAGCTTTCAAGTGTGATACCATATACTCTAGAGAAAGAGATCTATTCCTCAGTTTTGATTTGATGTATGATTTTCTTCTTCTTTTTTTAATTTTGATTTCCAAATTCATATTTTGATAATGCATGTAACATCTATAATTTTTTTTAATTTTATATTAATGTTATATTTTTCAAGATTTTTTTATTTGTATATTATTAGGTAAATTAAACTAAATAGATCTTGTTGTTGTTGTTTTTGCAGATGGCTAATATGGGTGAAAATAGAGCAAATGGGAGTGGTAATATCCAACAGGATAATAACCTGGAGGAACTATTCAACAATGCTGGTTTTGATAATTCCCAGAATATTGTTGAAGCCGGGGAAGAAGAGTGAGGCTGCTTCTTAATTTTAATTTTCTCTTCTTTTTCATATGAAGTTGACTAATTTTTTTAAAAGAATTATATGGATAGAGTTTAATTTATTTTCACTTATTTGATTTTGGTAAATTAGTCCAGTGGGGGGCTTTCAAGCAGCTCTTATGGATGAAATTGAGGCTGCTGATTACCATTTAGGGTTAGATCAACCTCCTGAAATGAACCCAGAGGTAATTTCTTTTTATTTTGTTTGATCTTCTGAGGTATATGTTAATCACAATAAAGGAAAACCCTAGATTTTGAGGTCCATTTCATGACGACGAACAAGATTTAAGGGAAAACCCTAATACTTTTAGTCCATTTGATGATGATGAAAACAATGTGAAAAATGAGAGATTAGGGCATTTTTCTTATTATCTTGATCACTTGATTTGTTCCCTTTTTACTTCCCCAGGAGAATGCTATTTTACATGGTAATGAGGAATTTAGCTCCCCTTCACTGTACAATCCCCAGTCTCCGCAAAACTCGCCGGGTTCAGAATCATCGACTAACGCTAAGCCCGATCAAATGAACCGGGCGAGCGATCTTCTCATGGCGGTCTCGATAGGAGCCGAGCTTAACAAGAACAAGATCATCGAACAAGCTATCGGAGCCATGGATGAGCTGGTAAAAATGGCTACAATGGGTGAACCGCTGTGGCAACGCCAAGGGAATGGTGGAACGGAAACGCTAAATGGGATTCAATACTTGAGGGAATTCGGTTGTTTCGATGCAACGATGGAAGACATAATAAGAATGGTTGAAATCGGTGAACCCGAACTTATCCCGAGCTTCGATTACTTCCCCCCAGATAACCCTACACCGACTTTTCTGAAACCCGAATTCGAACCGTTGAACATCGAAGCTTCACGAGATACTGGACTCGTTAACATGAACGCTATGAACATTGTTGAGTTGCTCATGGATTCGGTTCGTGTTCGTTTTAACTTTTCCCCTTGTGCCCTTTCGTTTTGTACTTATTTATGACCTAATTCTTTTCATTTTCTTTTGATTAGAAGAATTGGTCGATGGTATTTTCCAGCATTGTCTCGAGAGCTACACTGCTAGGAGTTATTTTGGACACTGTTGATGGGAGCTGTAATGGAGTTCTTCAAGTGGTAAACCTCAAAATGAATTTCTTTATCTCTAATATCATATTATTCATTACCCTATTGAAACCTCAGCAATATTGCATGCATGGAAATTCTTCACGTTGGAGTTTTATAATAAATCATGCAAAAATACACTGTTGTTTTGCTTATGAAATCTTTCTTTAATAACCTGATAGTTTTATACAATCTTTACTTAAATAAATTGATTGAAATGATTTGTTTATGTAAAGAAAGAATCACATAAAATTTTAAGGAAAGAGCTGTTTCATAGTTCTTTCTTTGTTAACTCTGTGTTCATTTTGATTTCAAGGAAAGTTTTGTATCATAGTTGAACACTTCTTTCTTAAACAAAAGCCTATGTGTTCATTTTGATTTTGATAGAAATCATTAAATTCAAACATAATTTATTAAAAAAAACATTTACAATCCATTTGTTTATTTCCTCTAACTGATCTTAAGGAAAAAGTTGTCATGTCGAAGGTTTCTTTGTTAACTAAAAGCACTATGAGCTCATTTCGATTTTGATCTAGGGTTTAGAAAAGTCATCAAATTTAATCATATTTTATTGAAATTTCTTTAGGATCCATTCGTTTTAATTGATTTTTTAAGAAAAGAATCGTGTATAGAGTTGAATATTTCTTTGTTAACTAAAAGTTTTATGAATTCATTTTGATTTTAATTTAGAGTTTAAGAGAATCATCAAATTCAATCATATTTTTTTAAAAATCTTTTTGCGATCGATTCATTTATTTCCTCTAATTGATTCTTAAGGAAAGAGTTGTGTCAAGATCGAATATCTCTTCGTTAACTAAAGTTCCTACGAGTACATCTTGATTTCGGTTTATGATTTAGTAGAATCACCAAATTTAATAATAATTTCTTGATAACTCATTACAAATTTTTTTGTTTATTATCTCTAATTGATTTTTAAGGAAAGAGTTTGTCGTGGTTGAATAATTTTGTTAGCTAAAAGCTATGTAAGCTCATTTTTATTTTGGTTTGAGTTTGATTTTGATTTAGGGATTGTAACTAGGGTTTTGATTCAACATGAGATCATTTTGATTTTGATTTAGGGCTTGTAACTAGGGTTTTGTAGCTTCTAACTTTGTTTTGATTTTAAACTAGGGTTTTGGGGAATCATTCATTTCAATCATGTTCCCCCCCTAAAAATTCTTTATAATTCGTTCATTTATTTCTTCTAGTTTGATTTTAAAGAAAGAGTTGTATTGATTGAGGGTTTCTTTGTTAACCATAAATACTTGCAAGTTCATTTCGATTTAGGGTTTCGTTCATTTATCTAATGGTTGTCTTCCGATATTCGTTTCAGATGACAGCTGAGTTTCATCAATCTACACCATTAATACCAACTCGACAAAGCTATTTCGCAAGGTACTGCAAGATGGTAGCTCATGGAACATGGGGAGTGGTTGATGTTTCCTTGGAGAATCTATTCCCATGCCCACAAATCCAGTTCAAAAGAAGACCATCAGGCTGTTTAGTCCAACAAGTCCCCAACAATGGTGGAGCTTCCAACGTCACTTGGGTCGAACACGTCGAAGTCGATAAGAAATCGCTTCACCCTCACTTCCGTCCCATTGTCAACTCCGGTTTCGCTTTCAGCGCCAAACGATGGATCGCAGTGCTCCACAGGCATTGCCAATGGGTGGCAACTTGCATGGCTACAACCACTCCTACAGATGCTGGAGGTAAATGTTATTTTCTTCTTTCTTTCTTTTTTTTTTATTTTGAATTACGGACTTAATTGTCGGAGCGCGTCCCAAATTATCGATTTTGTTCAGTTTTGATACCTCAACCGGGGAGGGAGAGTATGCTGAAGGTGGCTGAAAAGATGACGAGAAAATTCTTCATGAACATTAGTTCTTGTACCGAGAATGCATGGATGGGATTGCCTTCAAACTTTGGTGCTGAAGATGTTAGGTTCAGATTTGGAAATACATTAACTGTTCCCGGGAAGCCTCCTAGTAACACTTTAATCATCACTACTTCTGTTCAGGTCCCGGTTCCGGTGAACGTTTTGTTCGATTTTCTTCGTAACGAACATTCGAGACACAAGGTACGTAAAAGATATGTACATATATACGAGTGTCGGATACAAATATATGCCATACATGAACTTTCATATGGTTAAATATGCAGTGGGATTTGCTTTCAAAGGAACGACTTGTCCGAGAACTTGCCTATGTAATAACCGGTGAAAATCCTCAGAATCGAGTCTCGGTTTTGCAAGTGAACGTAAGTTTTGCTTACAATTTCCATTCTTATCATTACAATTGCTTCCAATATGAACTAACTCATAAGTATATCGAAATTCGCAGTCGTCTCCGAACAAAATCGAGATATTGTATTTGCAAGAAAGCTACACCGATGAAACCGGCTCGTATATCGTATTCACACCGATGGACACCTTCGCCATGTCATTGATCTTGAACGGCGGGAACCCAAATGATCCATGTATTTTATCGTCAGGGTTCGCCATTCTGCCCGATAAGCCACCGGGGCAAGGAGATGGACCCGAGGGAAGTATCTTAACGGTAGCATTTCAAAGCGCCGATAACTTATCGAGCAACGAGTTAATACCTGCGTTGACGCTTAAAACCATCGATGTGATATTGTCGTCGACCGTTGCTTCGATCAGGGATGCTATGGTATTGTTAGCTAATAGGCAATTTGCAAGAAACTGATGAAGAATCGAGTTTTAAAACTCATTCAACAGTCTGTACTCTGCAATGGTAAGTTTCGACTTTCGAGCTACCCTTTTTCTGTTCTTACATTCTGCAGGTGTTAATGGATTCATTGTTCATAGAACTGCAGGTTTTCTTGGCCATCAATGGCTGCTTGGAGGGAAATAGGGGTGACGAAACCTAAATGAATTGTCCATGTTTGCCTGTTTGTTTCTTTTTATGTTGTTTGTAATATTATGTAAACCAAAGGAGTTTGGAACTTGGAATGTTGGGATTTTCATACAGTGGTATGCTTTAGAACTTTAAATTCAGACAGTGTGTTTACTGTGTAATGCTTTAGAACAACTTTTCATAGAATTTTTTTTTAGCAATGGGATCATGAAAGCCAATATATAATGTTAGACCTTCTTGGTTATTATATTCTTCAACAATTTAAGATAAAATTAGGGGTTTGATTTCAATTAGATGTAGATGTTTGGTTTGGTGTTTTCCTTCAAACCCCAAAGGTTAAAAATCATGCTATGTTAATAAACTAACTTCATAAACACTATAAATTTTCAGAAAATGTTATATGATACGTGATAGACAACTGCATACAATATAGCTAATGATATACATTATATAGCTGATGATGGGCTATGGTTTACTGTAAATTTGTATACAATAAGACCTGAAAATATGACTCAAATCTCAGTTTTCCCAACGCTACATTGTTTTTCTGCTTCATAGTCTTCTTTCTGCTACTTCCAGGGCTGATGGTCTAAGCATAAAGCGCATCCAAGGGACTTACTGTTCCCTGGAAACCTCACTACATCCCGAAGATTAAGAGACTGATGTTCGAGTCTCGATCGATCAAAGGATAGTTTCATCTTTGCAAAAACTGTTGCGTACAGAAGGTCCTCGTTTACGATTACCGCAATCTTCACTGCACTCATTCAAACATCTAAAGTTCGTATTATCAATGAATGTAGTGTGAACTTTAACAGCAGGAAATCAAAATGATTCGATGCAACACCTTTCGTTCTCGGTGAATTAGGCCACGGTTGATGAAGATCTTCATATTGTAGATAATCTTACAATAATGATGATTATAAACAATGCCATAGGAAGGCATCATGTGCTTTTCTTAATGTTCTGCTGCGGCTGGGAGAGAATCTGTCTGAATAAAACAAGGATTAATGCTGTGAACCTTGGTCCCATATGGTCTGATATTAATAAGAACAAGAACAATGAGTATGTATTCATTTTAAAATGCCATGGACGGTCCATAATCCCATAATTGCATTATAACAAGTACTCCGTAATCTCATTCTCATATTCTTTAAGTTGCTTGAAACCCAAGTGGAATTATTCCATCTCCACTCATCACCATCATTTCCCCCTACAATAAAGAACCCTTCCAGGAAGGCAAAGCAGATTCTCCTATTTTCTTATTGATTTCTGTCCCTCTACTATGCTCAAATTATAGATTTAGTCCTAATTTAATTCGACATAACTTGATCATCAACTTTTCATTAATTAGTCCAAAGTTTGGTGGTTGTGGGGTCAATTTGGTGCTAAGAATTGGAGAATAACTTTTATTTATTTATTTATTCTCCTTCCCATATTCTTGCCTTCCTATTTCAACTATGTACATAAAAATAAGTGAAGATAAAAAAAGGAAAAAACAATTTTTAATCCCTGAACTTAGTAATTTTGTCAATTTGATCTCTGAACTTTTTCTATCCACATTAATTCATGAACTTGGATTTTAATCAATCAATCATCATGATGATGCATCATCATTAAAAATGAGAGATGTCAAGTTTATGTACTATTATGGATAAAAAGGCTCAAGAATGTCTTAAATAAACAGGTGCTAGAAGTCGATAATGGGTTCTCCCACGGTCAAGTTTCTCTCAACCGTCCAAGACAAGTTAAAGAGTTTGGCCATGATGAACTTAAAGATCTTGTTCACATTGATGTTATGTTTAGCACTTGAGAAGAAAAGGGTTGCCTTCATTGCCTTCACGTATGCTCTTGCCTGTTCCAATTTCAACTTTGGTTAATTATATTGCTTTGAAAATTACCCCAAAAAAGAAACAATTCTTATTTCTTTAAGAACATTATAATCAAATTGGTTTATTATCTAAAATGAAGTTTGTTTGTCCAAAGTAATCAAATTCCAAATTCCCAACTTTTAAAAAGACAGAGAGATGGTTGTCACAATTGTCAAATGGCTGACAGAATTGACAAATAAAGACTCCCCCATGACAACAATTCCTCTAGTTCAAATGCTTGATAAATGACACAGTAATGGCTTGTGTATTTCTGATCTTATCTAAGGATTTTTTCGTTTTCGATACCGATCTTGTTGAATACGAGAATGGCACGAATACGAACATAAGTTGTTACCCTGAGTCACAATAGTCCATTGCAAATCTGGGGGGAGCTTAACAAATTCATCAAATTTTGTTCCTATTAATACTGGAATTGCTGTCTGCAAAAATCATGGGAAAACCCATATTGAAATAAGAACACAAACTGATATAAGAACACAGGCATAAACATCAGGAATCTTAATGGCTCCACTTGATAAAATTCTTTACTGAATACAGAGACCACCTATTGATTGGAGCACTAATATTATGGGCCTAGTACTGAAAGCTTCACATCAATTCTCTTTATTATCTGCAAAGTAAAGCTTGAAATTTTGATACCAATCTAATAATTTCCTCATTAAATTCACCCATTCCCCACAGTCATTTACAAGTCAACAGTTCCTTTCTTAAACTAACAAATTATTAATGTATTAGCAGTCAATTATTGTATTAAAGATGCAATTAATTACACACATCGACAAATTTATTGCAGTTTTAAAATTCTAAACCCAACGAAATTAAGCTGATTTTACTACCTGATTCCATTTCCTTGCTTGACTATACCATCCAACAACACTGCAAAAACCAACAAAAAAAACTTGCAAGAATCATAAAACTATATCGTCAATTTGCATTTGTAGGGCTTATTTCCAGTTGAAAAACAGGTTTTTGAACTAACCTGTTAAGGGTGCATCGGTTTGTTAGATCAAACATAAACAAAATTGCTACTGAATCTTTACAAGCAATTGGAAGATGATCAAGAGAGTTACAGTCGCCTGAAATGAAGAAAAAATCACAAAGAAAACAATGAGAAAAAAGAAGGAAAAATTACGGTTCTGCAGTTTAGAAACAAAGATATACCTCCCACATCCCATATGCTGAAAGCAATCCTAGCACGTTGAACAAATAATGTTTTGTTTACTAAATTTAATCCGGACATTTCCAAGCTCCTCTCTTGTTCATCCCCAACATATTTGATCTTCCAAAAAAACAAAAAAACAAAAACAAAAGGGTTAATTATTCTAAAAAGAATTTCATCAAACACAAAAGAAACCAAAAACTCATGCTTTCTTTACCAGAAAACTCGTTTTCCCAATCTGACAGTCACCTAACAAACTGATCTTCAAGCTAACCAAATCCGAATCTGACTTGTACCCTTCGTCGGTTAAGGCCTCCCCTTCGTCATCGTCGTCTCCAATAACCACCACTCCTTCCACCGGAGAAGAATCCCGGCGAGTCAACTTCCTGTAGTGAACGGGTCGTCTTCCTATAGAACAAACAAGAATCCTATCCCAAATGTGCCTAAAAAACCTTCGAAAAATCGATACCCTTCCTAGTATACTCCATTTAATGTTAACATGAACAAGTTTCCTGCAAATTCGTGTCATTGTTTTCGCTCATGAATGGTTTCGGACATGGAAATGGAAGATTGGTCGTTGTTTCGACATAGTATTTTGTTGTTTCTTTCTTCAGCTTTAAGCTTTGCAAGAGCTTAGTATATTTGTAATGTAATAGGGATAGCGGTTGACCGGTATTTTTATTTTTGTACCCAAATAGTCCAAAATGCCGGCTCCTTGGGGTTTACGTACGGTGGGTATTTGGGTCAATTTCGGTAAGCCAAAGGACTAGTATAAAAAGACGACAAGGGTAATTTGGTTAATTCAGCTAAAAGGGTAATTTTGGGAAGATTGTAATAATTCTTTTTTTGAAGGATAAATCTTTGTCTACCATCTACATATACCAAGCACAAGAATCTTGTGACGTGTCTTTTTCAAAGATAAGAAAAGCAAGATTATTGTTTTTTTTATTAAGATAAAGATTAAAGAAGTGTTGGGCTTATTATCAAAGTCGCTTCGGTAGTAAAGAAATTATTATTATTCTTTGAGATTTTGGGTTCGAGTATCAAAAATATTGAAGGTGTGAATGTTCAATGTTAAATAATTTATAGTTATTTTTAAATAGATATTTCATTGTATTTACCGTAATTTAATAAAAGAAAAAGAAGTGTTGGGTATTGGGTCTATGAAACTTTCCATGTTTATCAAATAAGTGATCCATTTATAACTTTTAATAGTCAATTACTCAATAAGATATTATTCTATATTCAGATGACCAATTGTGTACTTTACCATATAAAAATGGGACGTGAGAATTATTTGAATATAAAGGTTAAGATCCACTTACATTTAGTGTAAAACTTTTAATTTTATACTTTTTTAGGATCATTTGATGAAGGGATATCAAAGGATGAGATTAATTCCGTGTTTTTCTTCATTGAATATCTTCTCATTTTCTAAAGTTAATCTCAGCCTTTGATTTCATCTTATCCAATAATCTAAAAAATACATAAAACTTTTTTATTTTACACTATATAATTGATAATCATGATTAAATTATATCTTTAATGGATTACATTAAAAATAATGGTATAAAAAGATAAATTGATCAAACATTAGTTTTATTTATATTATTGCTATTTTAATATTTAAAAAATTGAGTTTAAATTAATTTAAATATGATTATCTTCTATTTTGATCAGTTTAGAGTTAGGTTGAATTTTTCTTATAATTTTAAAAAAGTTTAAAATGTTAATTTAAAGTGGGCATTTGAGCTTTTTGAAATACTACCTCATAAGATGCACAATAATCTAAGCTTTGATGTTTTAAAAAATAAAAATTTGCAAATATAACAATGGAAGGTCCTCGTCGAAAGACAAAACATTGAAATCTAATTAATTAATAGGATTAATTATGCATTTAATATTTAAATTATCAATTTTGATCAGTTTTAATACTTAAACTATTAATTTTAATCAATTTTAATACTTAAACTATCATAATTAAATTTAAATTCGATTCAAACCGGAGATCGTTGAGTAGGTCTAATTTGGATATATACTATAGCAATGAAGAAGAAAAGGTGAAGGCCAACAAGACGGCGAATGTAGTGTTGCGGTTTCAAAGGGGTGGTTGGTGGTTGACAATGACAAAGCACAGAGTGCATGTGAATCAGCTCAAGTGACTTGGAAACGACCCACTTGTTAACATCATTAACTAAATTAAGTTATTAATTATATCCATATTTGATCTTACGTACATTAATTGATTATTATATGGGTAAAGTCCACAAATGTCTCCTGATTATGAGTTGTTTTATTAAGTTCGTCGACTATTAAAAATTACAAGAAGATCACCTGACTATTCATTATGTTCCGAACTCATCATTTTTTGGGATTAAAATTGGTGGTTGTTTAAGTTGTACGTTAACATGGTAACTAAGATATGATAGTCGTTTGAGATTCTAGGATCATATTTTATCATATCACAATCACTATGTTAACGTTCAACTCAAAATATCATCCACCTTTTAAAGAAAAATGACGGGTTTGTAACATAATGAATAGTCGAATGACCATTTTGTAACTTTTAATAGTCGAGAGACTTAACAAAACAACACTCTATAGTCATAAATATATTTTATAACTTTTAATAGTTGAGAGATTTAATAAGGTAATACCCTACAGTCGAGGAACTATTTTTGTACTTTACCTTTATTATTTTATACCAAATGTGACATTGTTTGATGTTTGTTTATTATTTTAATATTTACTAAACATGTCATTTTTACATGAGATAATTATATAAAATGTTCTTAAATTATGATCATATCTTAAATTAATCTTTAAATTTTAAGATATTTTATATCAATTATGAAATTATGAGTCATTCTAAACTAATCACTAAACTTTAATATTATATTATCTACAACTAAAATAGATATACTTAAACCTCTACATACAAGTTTGAGGTAAAAACTTATGAATAGGGATGGACATGAGTCGGATTTTTGGTTCACTCGACACGACCCGAGAACAAGAAATACTCCACCCGAGATTCGACCCGGGCCGACCAAAACAAGACCCGAACCCGACCCGATATATAACTTAAAAATCCGTCTCGACCTGACTCGACCCGAAATAATAAAAAATATTATTTTTATTTAATAAAAATAGTGACTTAATTGAAAAAAATAATATATAGAGGGATTTTATTATAATTATTCATAAATAAATAAGATAAAATTATATATTTTTTCGGGTCGGATCGAGTCTTTTTGACCCTAAACCCAAACCCGACCCAACCCGAACATCACATTAAAAAAACCCGACCTGAACCTATTTTTTTTAAAAAAATCCGACCCGTTCGGATCAAATCGGGCCGGAAGCCGTCGGATCGGTCCCATACACATCCCTACTTATGATGTTAGATTGTATTAAATGGAAGGAAGTTCTCATCCACACTTCTTGAAAGAACTCTTTGCACCATAGATACGACTAGCATAGATTCTCTTTGCACCCACTCACAAAGTGGAATTAAAATATTAAAAAATATCATATAAAAGTAAAGATTTTCAAAATTGATATAATTTAAATTATATTTTTGATATAATAAAATACACAAAACACCGCATAAACACGTAGAATTATTAATCTAAATTAGAAAAATTGATTTCAAAAACAAATTCCTATTATTTTTATCTAAAATATTTTTAATTAATATCACGTGTTGATTTTAAGTACGCTGAATAAGTTAAATTAAAATACTTTATCATCATATTTATAACCAAACATAAACATTACTTTTTTAATTTTCAATCGATTCATGATAACCTTTAATTATTTCCAACTTCTCATCATATCTTCCATCTATTATTGTTGTTGCAATCTTTGATTAAATAATAATCTTAGGTCAAGTTAGGTTTAATCCTAATCAAAATATATTCATTCAAATTAATTTTAAAAATCTATATTTGAATAAACATAGTTATAATTAAATTTTAAAACACCGTATGTCTAGTTAACGTTGTGATTATTTTAAGATAATTGTACGAATCAAATGATATCAATGGCTAAAGCGATAGTTGTTATCACTAGAGATCTTGGTCCTCCGGATTCGAGCACCAACAATTACAGAGCATTTAAGTTTTTATTGTCAAATGATTGATAGTCATTAAAACATGTGCTATCAATTGTAATCACTTAAATTAATCAAATTAATAATGATAATTATTTTAAACTTCAATAACGTATCTTTTTTCACAAGACTTTACTTTATCATTGTATCTTTATTTTTGACCATGTCTTTATTTTTAAATATTAATTAATAACATAAATATATAACGGTGAATTAAAATACTTTTTTAAAAATAAAAATATTTAAAAAAAACATATCATTAAATATTTAATAAATACGTTTTATTCTAAATATTTACTCGGTAAGGGAAAAAAGGTTTTAGTTTTAGTTTTAGCCCAATTGAACTGGATTCATTGTTCCAAACCCAATTCTTTTTGTACGGAACTCTCCTTTCTTATGATTTTTCTCTGTTCTTTTCCAAAACCCTTTTGTTAAACTCTACATAAATATTGTATCTTCGTTAAATTTTAGTTAATTAATCTGCAAAAATAAGAGAAAACAATGGACTCGCCGATTGATTCTGCCAAAGAAGAGAAATTGAAATCTCTTACGGGACAGCTTACTATCTTACCTCCCCTTAACCCATTACATATGGAACAAGGGACAGCCATAGAAGGTCATCATATTTTCAGTGTCTTTTAAAGGCTTGTTTTAATTTCTTTCTATTTTAATTTTTAATTTTTGAGTTTTTTTTAATGGTGAAAATGCTGAGAGAGCGAAATAAGAGGATAAAATTTATAGGAGTTTTGGGTTGCATATTTTCAGTTTGAGAAACTAGCTGTTTGGCTGCCGAGAAAGCTGAGAGGGGAAAAGAAAAAGGACTTCGGAAATTAGAACTAGGAGTTCTAAACTTTTCTCTCTGTTGTTTTATTTAAGGAGGAACAAATTCAAATCCATGTTTACTAGGAGATGATTTATATAACCAGTTTAATGCTAGAGAATTGTGTTAATTCTAATTTCTTCTTATGCTTGTCAAATTTTTCTGTGAAATTAGGTAAGGAGAGACTTGAGATTGTTGAAATCTGCTAATTTGGAGGAATTATTAAATTCCTGCTTTCTGGTTATCACTGGAAAGAGACCTAAACAAAAGGTGCAGCTTTTAGAAAGGTATGCGTGTTAATTGTTAGTACATTTATGTTTGAACCAATATAATTATATGTTTATTGTTAGGTACTAAGATATTGAAAGATGTATATACTTACATCGGTCGGTGTAAGTATGTGTTAAGTGCTACACTTTTTTTTATTCACATACACCGATGTAATATGTGTTAGGTTTTACACTTTTGTCTTTTATTCAGTTACACTAGTGTAAGTATGTGTTAAGTGCTACACTTGTTTATTTTATTCATTTACACCGGTGTAAGTATGTGTTAAGTGTTACATTTTTTTTGTAGTATGAATTATGAAAAAAATTTGACAAATAATTGTAATAGGTTAACCTACGGTTAACCTGTAATCAAACCGTTAATAACAGTTAACTAGTAGCAGTCAACCGTTTCTTAATGGTTAGGTTATGGTTAGAAAAATCTCATAACCATTATAACGGTTAACCGACCGTTTATGTTAAATGGTATGGTTAACCGTCCATGAACAGCCCTAGAGAAAATATGATGCCGGAAAACCTAATTTTATGGAACGGCTTTTGGGGGCAGCACGGCTACTATCACAGGTACATGGTTCGTTCTCTTTGCTTTCTCTTCCTATATTGCGGCTACTACCAGTTTCCTGCAAATTATTATTTCTCTTTTCTAGCTTATAGAACTTCTCGGACTTTGCCTTTAATCCAAAAACTTAATGTTGATTACTGCAGTCTTAGATTTATCATCTTTAGATTTTTGTTTACATTATTGCATCTTTAGCCTTCTCATCTATGTATATTTATGTTGCATCTCAACTGACTTTTATTAATTCCCCTGTTTAATGTTTTCGTTCTACGTGAAAGGTAAAAGAATAGTTGACATGATGTTCTATGTTATAGAGCTCAAATATTTTATCGCCGTTTCCCATTTGAACCGGATGCAACCATTGAGGACCGTAAATTCCATGTAATTATGCGCATTCATTCCTGCTTCCTGTTGCATGGCCTAACCCGACATTTATATATGAATGGATATCTGTTTCTCTTGCAGATGGTTGAGCCAATGTTGAGGGCAGCAACGTATCCGTATCTAGTTCTTTTGTTAAATTGGATACTACTTAAGAATCAGGGAAATTTAAATCTTTCTTTAACCGGATACTACTAAAGAATTGGGAAGAGTTTAAAATAGAGATTGAAAGTTTAGATTTTGTTTTGCGTTAACGGGTCAGGTAGTGATGCATATATTGGCAAATCCTTAAAATACACATGCCAAAACAGTCGAAGAACTTCTATCTTCTTTTGATAACCTTGACTGTGCTATAGTCAGGTATAGCTCGCTCATTTTTTATGGGATTTTCTGTGACTGTTTTATCTCCCCTCGCACGCCTTAGAGTTTTGGTTCAACAAGTAAGTTCAAAACCTTCCGGTTGAATAGTCAAATTTTGTGGAAAAAGTTTGTACCCCACTTAGGTCATTGTGTGACTGCATTGTGCGAGTTCACATGGTTAACGAACCTGTTCTAAGTAGCCATTCTGTAAAATTAAATCAGCAAGGAATTGAGGTTGACCCCATTCTCCATATTTGATAGATTCTTACTGTCCCAATTTCCTTACAGTGGAGCCTCATCCTTTTTGCTTAACAATGATGCCATGTATTTAGAGAGTTTTATCCGAAAAAAGAGGACCATGTCACCCTAGAGTGTGTCTGGAACACATATAAGTTTATATTGGTTGAGAGGATGAATACATGTGAGATTGAAATGCAAGAAGGGGTAATGAAGTGCGATACAAGACTATCCAGTCAGTACTTGGAGGTATAGACATTCATTGCCTAGACTCTTTGCTGCTCATTAACTGGAGTTACACAGTCATCTAATCCTTTAAATTTTAGCTTCCAAAATACTCGGTTTCAAGATGAGAAGATTTCGGTGGTATGAATCTATTTTAGGCACTAACATGTACGTTCAATTTCTGTTGTAGATGATAAACCAACTGCCGAGAATGCTGATGCTGAAATATCACCCCATATGAATGAGACTACAACTGACTTCATAAGAGACCACAATGACGAGGACACAAAGCAGGTTGAAAATTCTGCTGAAAAAGCAGATAACACTGTTGTTACCAAAAACCCTTGGCAGAAGACCGTCTCCCAAGCTAGCTCGCTGGCAGATACTGGTACTTCTGCTGGCTCAAGTAGTTTAAAATTGGCATCTAATGTGAGGAAAGTGGCGTTTGTACCCGTGAAAAGGCCAGCGTCTTCAACAGGAAACCAACTGATGTACCTTTAAAAGAATCCAGAAGTAATGGAGGTTATAAGACAGATGCCTTCTATTGCTTGCTCACCCGTGGAAACCTCAACGATAGTCTCTTTGGATGATCGATGGATTCAACAAGTCATTCTTTGTTTTCAATCAGTATCGTTCTTGGTAGTATTGTGTAATTTTAATATCCTCTGATACCAATCTTCCAAAGAACTGAATCTTGGTTTTCCAAGGCTATGTTTCATTTGTACATTTCACAAATCAGAGGGTTCGTTTATTTTCAATGGAATTTGCAACACCGCGTGGAGCCCTGAACAGACATTGCATTCCATTTTTTTATTTCTTTCACACTATATTATGATCAATATGAATGCAGGTAAACAGCTACCAATAAAATGATAGAAATGCATCCAAAAATCATTACACATTTGGTTTCTCATCATATTTATGTTCTTTAGCATGTTTTCCTAGGAACTTAGTTCAAAGTGCTGTTCTTATCAACTATAAACTTTCATAGTTCTATCAATGGATAACAGGCATCAGAGGGTGTGCTCTAAGGTTTGACAAGTCAAGAGCAGAATAAAGCTCTTCGTCTAGTTCACCTACAACACTTCTGCCATAATTGAAGGATAAAAAGTTGTTACAGTAAGCATATAGAAAACTAACTGAAAATCCCAAATAATCAATAGAAAACAAAGCAGAAAACACGACATACATGTTATCTCCTCTTATTATGTACAAACCCAGCACAAGTTGCTGAACACCTTCCTGCAAATAAGTTGGGATGGAAAACAAAAAGAAGCAGGGAAACGATCATAAAAAGGCAATTAAGTTGTTCACATGTATTAGGATAAAGAAAAACCTCTTGCTTCTTCAACAAAAGTAGGTGTCAATGATTAAATGAATAATAATAATAATAATAATTATATAGCCTGTGGAATAAGGGCACAAACCTTGGTAGAGTACACACGTTCATGAGATTCGTCGAGAATGATATTTGTAGCCTGATCAAAGCCTTTTATAACGCCCTTTTTATTTGAGAGAAGAAAAACAAAGGAATAATGAAGCAAATGAGGATCTTACTGAAACTAGAAATAGTTTAGAAATACACAAATAAAATGATCTTATTTCAAAAGTTGAAGAAATGCATAGCGAGAATGCCTTAGCATACCACAATGTTGCGTCCATCATTGGTAATGATCAAGATTGTCTCTGCACAGAAAGGAAATGATTCAGATATAGAAACAGAGAGCCTAAATAACTTTGACGAAAAATGTCAATCAAGAATGTATGGAATAGAAACACAGTTTGAAAGTTGATGCGGATTCAGCTCCACGGTTCATTGGCCTTGAGATGCTATGCTAAAACATTTCAAGAAACAAAGAGGTTATTGCAGTTTGCTTACGATCTACAAGGGACTCAAGTCCAGGGCCGGTTGCCCTTTTGAAGCTCCGAAAGAGCAGTAAACATGATTAGCAAGACAAGACCACAATTTTCTGCACAAGAAAAGGGAAGATATAAGTTCCTGAGTACCGCAAATTCATTCACACAAACAAGCAGACAAGATACTTATCACAAGAACACAAGAAAAGATCACTGTTTCAAGCAAAAAAGAAAAAGAACAAGAATAGTACTAACGATCATGCAATGTCATATGGAAGAATCAAAGGTCTACATACAATCCATCTCCGAAAATAACGTAAGGATAAATACTTTGTAATTCAAATACTTCTTCGAAAATTCCTTTTAGTATCATACAGACAAAATCTTAAAAGAAAATTGAAACTGGAGAGTTATGAACTGTCCAGTATACACTATTCATTCATGCATTAAGTTTCACAAGTGAAATGAAGAACTCAGTAGCAATGCTTAAAGAAACTTTAGGATCATACCTTTTACAATCTCAATGCAATTCAGGATCATCTTTTTCACAGAACAAATTTGCAGCTTTAAACAGATTAACATTCAATAAGAGTTCTTCAATTGATTAAAAGTCCAGCTTTTAACACGAAGTCCAATCCAGAAGACAAAAACAAAAGACCCATCGCCATACACAAACAAAACAAAAGGAATCAAGAGCTTTCAACATCAACCCAGATTTCAAAATCACTCATTTTAACAGGCTCAAGTCTCAGATTCCCATATTTGATCAGATTAACAACTCAAAAACTATAGTAAAACTTATATTAACAGTTAAGAACCAATAAGAAATCATTACAGAAGAGTTAACCAAACCATAAATTTTGACAGAGAGGAGCCCAAACCTAATGTGGAGCAGCTCAAGGGCGGGTCAGTTAGAAATCTGAATATTTATCGGGTCGGGTTTTTCCAAAGTATGCCGGCTGTGTGCAGAGACGGGGAAAAAGAAGAGCTTGAAAAAAATAGGTAGTTTATTGGAGTGCTGGTTTCCCGTTGGGAAGGTAATGACGTGGCGTAACCTGTGGCGTAGGTTGCTTTCTTAAGGATGAGTGGCATATGATCTTGCCTTCAACAGGCCTGAAATATGAAATGTCAAAATCGTGTATAAAAAGTTGTATAGTATTTATCATGGGAGCTCATATACGCGAAGTGTTGAGCTTGGAGACTGACCCAACATCACAAATTTCCCATTTACAAATTCACTATCTTTTATTATTGTATGAGGTTAAGTTGTTGACAGTTATTAGCTGTAAAACATTTAAGAAAAAGAACAAAAAAAATAATGTCTTGTCCCAATCTTAAACGTCCTCCTTTTTTCTAGATATTTTCAGAAGTCCCAAACAATGAATCTGAACTAAAAGATTACAGAGAGTTCAACTGAAAGTGCTTTTAGAGAAATCACTGATATGGTGAATGCAATTCAATATCATCAAACTTCACCACTGCTTCTCTTTCAATGTTGTTCATCTCCTCATCCTCCTCATATCCCCAGGTGCCGTCACGATTCACCTTTTTTTGTTTAGATGTTACTAATTTTCTTTTCTGGGTTTCATTCGTTTAGCTTTACTATAGGGTTTTGGCTGAAGTTTTCTGGAGATTGAGAATTCATGAAAGAGAAAAATGGAAGCATGAATAGGGTGTGAAATTGTTGAACATGCTGCTTGTTTTACTTGACATTTTGTCATTAATTAAGAGGGTATTTGTGAACCTTTTAAGCAAGTGATAATAGTTTCACAAATATGGTTTTAATTGCAATTTTGGTAGTGATTGTGTTGCTTTTACAGGGGATTGCTTGGGAAATTGACGTTGAATTGCTCTGTCAAGAGTCCTCCCTTGAGTAAAGTTGTTGCAAGTCATACTGTTTCGGGTCTTGCTTCATTGATATTTCTCTCTCAAACAAGCCAGGTGAAGTGGTTGTGTTTCTTCAATTTCTAGTAGTTTTATCAGTGAATTTCAACTCTAAAACATAGTTTGCAAGTTACTGTTCGATGAATTTACCCAAAGGAGTTTGTCTAATCATTCGTTGCATCTCGGGTATCGGTTTATAAGATTCAGTTCTGTAAGAAAAAGACGTCCCTGAACATGACAACACTATTAAGATTATAAGAAAATTCAGTTTCCACTCAAATCATTTCCCACTATGAAGCTTCAAAGTTGTCAAGTCGGTGTTCAGACAAGTATTTTCCGATCTTCTTCTCGAGCATGAGAGTTTGAATTGTGTCGGGTTTGCAGGGAAAGTTCATGACATCTCATCTCAAACTAACCCTTTCCCTGATTGGAGTAGTGCCAAAGGATACGAAACAATAGCATTGCGGTAGAGATTTCTTTATGTTTTTAAGTTTAACCAACTTTCGTTTGCAGGTTCTTGCAGCTGATTTATCTCATCATCCAAGCATCTGTCAGCTTGCGAGTGCCATGGATAATAAGCCAACTCTTCCACTCGAAGAAGATTCTGGTGAAGGAAATGGGATGCTAATGATGATGAGAGGTATGACAGCAAAGAACTTTGACCCTGTTAGATATTCCGGAAGGTGGTTCGAAGTAGCATCACTAAAACGCGGATTTGCTGGCCAGGGTCAAGAAGACTGCCATTGCACTCAGGTAAACATTACAAGGTAGAAACAAAACTGATTTTGTGACATTTCACTGATTCACTCCCAAATTGAGAAACTCAGAGGATCCCTTGTATGATATATATGTAGATAATATTTCAATCTATGTTGCTCGGACTCTTCATTGGTCTTTAAGTACCCTTGTCCAACACTCGTGCCTGACACATGGATTCGAGGATATGATCTCCAAGGATCTTCCAAACACATGGGAAAGCTTAGAAAAAATTAATCATAGCTATGTCAGATAGATACCCATGTTTGATACTTGTTCAAGTAACATAGGTTCCAATCATCATAGGCTTCTCTAGTTTCACTTTACATATACAGTTCAACGAATAAAACGACGAACCAGAAGTCAAACTAGCTTTTATCAGATCCTGAAACTAGGACTAGTTGCTTATCTCAGATCCATTACTGCTGTAGATTTCATCCTGTCATAACTATTTTTACTCCCAAACTTTGATTGCTAAAATCATACATGTTGTAATCAATCAATTTGCAGGGAGTTTATTCATTCGACATGAAAACACCTGCAATACAGGTCGACACATTTTGTGTTCATGGAGGGCCAGACGGATATATTACCGGGATAAGAGGAAATGTTCAATGCCTTTCACAGGAAGATATTGGGAAGAAAGAAACAGATTTAGAAAAGCAAGAGATGATTAAAGAGAAATGTTACCTTCGTTTTCCTACCTTGCCTTTTATCCCCAAAGAACCTTATGATGTTATTGCTACTGACTACGACAATTACGCCCTTGTTTCAGGAGCGAAAGACACAAGCTTTATCCAGGTAAACGGATAGCATATCTCATTAAGGATCTATGGAGTGTCGTATCTTGATACTTATGTTCAAATCAAATGTGTTAGACACGGATTTTGGATAGTATTACTTTAAGAAAACATATAAGAGGCAAAAGATTGATTTCTTGCTCAATTCATGCAGTAATATACCAGTTGCGTCGGATTTTTAGCCTTAATGTTTCAGATATGTAAAACTATTTCCTTATGAATCTGGTATTGTTGTTTCAGATCTACTCAAGAACACCAAATCCAGGACGCGAATTCATAGATAAGTACAAATCATACCTGGCGAATTTCGGATATGATCCAAGCGAAATCAAGGACACCCCACAAGATTGTGAAGTGATGTCAAACAGTCAGCTAGCTGCTATGATGTCCATGTCCGGGATGCAAAAGGCTTTAACAAACCAATTCCCTGATCTTGAACTAAATTCTCCTCTAGCACTTAACCCTTTTACGAGCGTCTTCGACACTTTGAAGAAGCTACTTGAGCTTTACTTCAAATAGATGTTTCAATTCCTATGAACTCCATTTTATTCTCTGTTTTTACCGTGAAATTTTACAGCACATTTTTCATCGAACTCCATGAATTGTAGATATGTGAACAGCCTTTAATTGAAAACATATTAATTTTAACCCTTTGTTGTTCTCCTTCCAGTAAGGTTAATCACAAGCAGACTCATCAATCTATAAACAAGAACATACCACTGGTAAAGTTATATATCATCATTCGAGACGGTAACAAAAGTTAATCGAATTTATAGGTGAATTTTATACACGAAACACTAACTTTTTCTCTCTATCCAACAGTCTTCATACTAGGTTCATCTCAAGGTTCATATCAGTGATTGAAATAGATATATTCAACTAGGGATTTAAATATCGTTTGTGGTCACGTTTTCAGTCACGTTACGTTTATCGTGATTGTGGACATAACGGATGACATCACGGTAACTGTAGGTGTCGCAGCCGTGAAACTTTTTTAATTTTCGCACAACTTATCCTAAAACATAATAATTATAATTATAATGAGTCATTTTTAATGATTTTTAGAAATGTTTTCTAAGCAAAAATGATATATATAATATAGTTTAACCAAATATAAGATTTTACAAACTCGACAATAATAAGATAATTAATGATGAGTGATGATATTGTGAATACATTATTATTTAAAAGAAATAATATGTATAATATAATTAAATAATATAAAGTAAATAATTTAATTATATTTATTCGGATTCATTTGATTCCATGCTCTTTGTGCTTGTGGAGTACCGAATGTCTCGTGTTTACCTTTCATTTTCACATAATTTCATCAAGCGTCCACTCGACCATATTCTTTGGTGATGCCACTGTGCGACAATAAATTGCGACTGTTATCCCGCGACGGACCGCTATCGACGTGAATCTCACCGCTAAATTCTTCAATATCGATTTCGAATGACGCGGGACTGCGAAATAACAACTGCTATTGCGTTTGCATCCCGCTACTTGAAACCCTGAATCAGATCAAGCCTTTTCCGCAGAAGAACCAAGGATCAACTGTTTTTTTTCCTTCATCGACAGCCCTATCAAGTGCAGTACGTCCATCTGCATCCTTGACATCATACTTAGCTCCAGCTCTCAATAGCTCTTAGATTTTCGGCTTGTCACCTTCCGATGCGGCCAGCATTAGCAAGATGTCTACTGGGTGGATGTTTTGGTTCAAAAGAGCTTCCATCTTATCGTAGGTGCCATCGACAGCAAGCATCCCCATGTAGTTAAAATACTGCAAACAAAATAGCTTAATCAATGGAAGCTTTCTCTGTACTGATGATATAATTATTAACAACCATTCAATAAGTTCATTCATTTTCAATCCTCCATACATGTCTGTAATGATAATATCATCATCAAATCATCTAAAATCATAAAACCAAACATGTTTCCTACACATCAATTAACCAAATCGAAGAAGAACAAGTTGGTTAACAAAGAAAAGGCAGAAGTACAAAAGATTCAAAGAACAACCTGCTCAACATAATCTCTGTCGAAATCATCTCTGCTTTGGCTTCCATAAATTCCAGCACCTTCAGCATCAACACCATTCTTACCAAAAAGCATTGAGTCCTTGAACCATTGGAGGGTCCAATCTTTGAAGGTCTAGACCAAGACAGAGAGTTTTGAGAACCCAGAAACTTGGAACTTAGCTTTGGCAAAGATGGGATGGAATTTGTGGGGTTTGAAGTAAAGGGTATTTGGAAAGTACGCGGGATTGAAGCAATTGATTCTTTTTGTTTCTGGTTCTGTGAGACCAAAGGGAAGTAGATGAAGGAGGTTTCGTTTCCACTTTGCGTTTCTATCCCTTACAAAGATTTCCCCCCTTAATACACTTTTTAGTTTAAAATATAATTTAATATCTAAAGAATTTTTCGCTAAAATTAAGTATCTAACGTTTCTAACCTCATGCAATAATACGGTTATTAAATTTGACTGTTATCTAATACGTTTTAGTCATATAAAATTTTAAAAATTATTTTATTTTAAAAAACTTAATATTATAATTTTAAAACAAGTCAAAAAAATTCCAAAATTTATATTTTTCATCGCGGACCAATCACTGTCGGTCCATGACTGTCACCGTTGATACTATTAAAATCTTCTTCATGACGCGACCAAAACCCAATCCTCACCCACCGTGAAACTACGCTAATCGTCGTGAAAAATACCACCAAGAGTCATCGATTTTCTAGGTTTTTCGTTTCTATTTTTCAACGATTTTGACAATTACAACCGTTCGTACGCTACACGACCGTCACCGTTGAGTTTCTCATCTTGCTTTGAACAAACTCGATCGGTGGTGATCCTTCGCCGTCAAAGATGGGGCGATGGGAGGAGAGGGACGACACGAGGATGATTTTTTTCCTTTTTTAAAATAATATTTTTATTATAAAAAAATAAAAAAAATATGATGGTAAACACTTAAAAATGTAATGAATAAAACGTTAGACATCTATTATTAGAAATAAAAAATAGGTACCAAATCATTTTCTGAAGTATAATCTAGGCACTTTTAGTGTATTAAGGTTATTTTTTTAAATAAGGCTTTACAATGCATCCGGATCCTACCAATAGTGCAAGGAATCATGCCCCTCATTTTCCTAGGAACAAAACTCACTTCAGTCCATCAAATTACAATTTGTGCCAATTTGATCCCTACTTTTTTTTTTGGTTCCATATAAATCTATGAACAAAATTGATCTAATTTTTTTTAAGGCCAGACAGAAAACCCAAGTTACGTTAAATCTATATGTATCAAAATATTGCAAAAATTCTAATTCATTCCTATTGTATATACTTATCATTTCTTCAATAGGATAACAATACCTCTAAATAATAACAGTCCTACCAGGCGTATGTTTATTGATATAAATCTGTAAACGTGTACCTTTAAAGCCTCTAAATGATCATCTCCATCGTAGTTCCATAAAAAAAATGACAGGAAATGTAGACATGCCTCGAGTGTCAAGCAACAATTTTTCCTAGCAATTCTAGTTACCGCCTTCCCTTTCTCAGCCTTAAGTGGAGATCCTGATATTCTCTTTGATTTTTTTGGTGTCACCAGGAACCAATAACACTCTATTGGATGGAAACTTCTTCTCCTATACCGGCATGAGGCCACTCGTTAACTCTCCTCCACCAACAAATTTCACCGTCACGAAAGCAACCATGGCTGAGTTCCCTGCCCTTAATGGCCAGAGTGTTTCCTATGCTGTGTTAGAGTACCCTGCTGGCTCTGTTAACCCTCCTCATACGCATCCTCGTGCCGCCGAGCTTTTGTTCCTCACCTATGGCATACTTGAAGTTGGATTTCTTGACACCACTAACAAGCTGTTTACACGAAGGCTTCAAGCTGGTGACATGTTTGTGTTTCCCAAGGGATTAGTCCATTATCAGTTCAACTGCGCCGAGAACGATTCAGCTATAGCGGTTTCGGCCTTCGGTAGCGCAGCTGCCGGCACTGTCTCGGTTCCTTCTACGGTGTTTGCGACGAACATCGATGATGACGTCTTAGCAAAGTCTTTCAAAACGGATGTTGACACAATTCAGAAGCTCAAAGCAGGGTTCCAACCTAAGGCCTGAGATGGGGGATTCTAATTTCTAAGCTATTAGCAATAATTCCAGCTTTGGGGATTCTAAGATTTGGTTAAATATGTATGTTTGGTCTAATTCTGCTGCAAAGTGGGGATTTATCATGTTGTTTTGTTGTGTTAAAAGAGAGTTGTACCTCATAAAATAACCATTAAGATGTAATAAAGCCATTCAAGGTATTTGTTGCCATAATAAATAGTGTGTTTTCCCCCATAGAATTCTAAGTTCCCCCTAGTCTTGTAGTGAACATAAAGATGTCAGCAGCCTGAAGTGATTGAGGGTGCCATTAAAGGGTGGAAAAATGCCATGCCAGCTTTTACAACCTTGAAAATGGATGGACAATCAGATGCATCACATTAAGAAATGTAAAAGTGAAGAACTTGCTGAAAGCATGAACTTTTTTAATGATATAGCATGGCGAAGAGAAGCAGTGGAAAGGTTTCATATGGAGGCCATTTTCGATGATGCTGAAAGGAGGAAGAACACCGAGAAAATTAAGGTAGAAATAGGTTGGTTTGTTGTACAACGGCTCATTGTAGTATTTGCATTGCAGCTCTTGTATTATTTTCATGAAAGTTCACGTGTCAAAGCAAAGAAAGTACTTACTGTTGAAGGCTATAACATATTATTTTATTAAAATTTTTAATTATTATAAGTTATAAAATAATCATCTGATTATAAAATTTATTTTGTTAAATCTCCCGATTATTAAAAGTTACAAAATAATCATTCGATTATTCATTATGTTTCAAATTCGTCATTTTCTGTTAAAAATTGGAAGTTGTTTAAGTTGGATGCTAAAATGATGATTGAGATATGATAGTAGTTTTAAATTTTGAATCGGATTTTATTATATCATAGTCAGCAAATTAACGTTCAGCTCAGAATATCATTAATTTTTTAATAGAAAATGACGAGGTTGAAATATAATGACTAATCAGTTTATCATTTTCTAACTTTTAATAGTCGAATGACTTAACAAAAACAACACTTTAAAATCAAATGATTATTTTATAACTTTTAATAATTGAGAGATTTTTTTTATAGAAGGTTGCTAGTTTTATTAAAAATAAAAAAATATTTAAAATTACAATGAAGATTTACAAGCATAACTATAAACATATCACATTTTCTTATTATCATTGAGACAAAAACTAGTCATCTAGATCACATAAAGACTAAATAATGAAAAAATTAAAAAACCTAACAAAAAACTCAAACAAAATAAAGATACGAACAAATTTTATTGCATCGGCCGACGAACCACAATAGGAGATGGAGCTACTGAAAGACCATCGACAAATAGCAAATCAGATTCGAGCGACGTGAAAAAATTATCTACGAACGTAAAGCGCGTATCCAAATCAATTCGAGGGTCCAAAGCAGGGAAGATAATCATGATAACAAATAAACATCATCTTAATCAGTCATGACGATGTCAAATTCAACCCTGAGAAAAAAGATAAAGGAAAACAACGGTAAAAAACCGTAAACTAGTAAAAGACAAAAAAACGACTAAGGGATTTTATTTATCAAGAGCGGATGAAACTATATAATAATATCATTTAATAATCGAGAGACTTAAATACGAATATTTTACCCTAATTTATAAGCATAAAAAATAAAAATAAAATTGTCACGAAATTTACAATAAATTTAATTAAAAATAATTCTATATTAGATCTTTATAACATATTTTAATTAATTAAATAATAACAGTATAGATGTAATTATAAAGAAAACGAAGCGGTCAAATAGAAGAATCTATAATTATCTAGAAGGACCAAAACCTGGTCTGCTCATCACCAGAAAATATCTCGTCGGCTTATTCCACAAACTGAAAAAGAAATCTACAGAATGTTCCAGCAACTTCCGGATCCCACCTTTTTCCTTGTGGAATTGGATCCTAGAATCCACCATGTTCCCCTTTATATATCCGTTCTGACTCTGGTTTTTACACCCAGCAAGTACAAACCAATAGCAGAGAGCTGATCAAGAAGGTTTATCAAAGAATTTGTCTGTTAATTCCATTCAAAGACAGTAATGGACTTCCCCTTATTCCAAAATCCATGGGATGCGTCGTCTAACGGCCGTATCGTGAGAAGCTTTAGAGGGATCCCAGTTCAGGTCAAGCCCGAAGCCTGGCCGCCTCGGTCTTTCAAGCCCAAGACGGTTTCGATCCCCGTCCGCTTCGTCGGTTCGGAGCTGTCCAGATCCAAGTCGGCAATCAATATCCAGAAGGTGCTTAGGGGATTCCTGGTGAGAAAGAGCGTGAAGAAGATCATGGCAATAAGGGAACAAGTGAATGAAATGGAGCGTAGTGTTTCCAAGACGGAGACAGTGGAATTGATTCGGAAAGATTCGAAGGAGAGGTTGAGAGTGAACGAGAATCTGATGAGATTGCTTCTTAAGTTGGATTCCGTTAGAGGAGTGGATTCGTGCGTAAGGGATTTAAGGAAATCCGTTATTAAAAAAGCGATCGCGTTGCAAGAGATCGTTGACGCCATTATTTCCGATGACCACTCCGTGGATTCCAGCAGTGCTGAAGCAGCTGACCAAAACCAAGGTATTATCGATTCTTCCGGTGATTGAAATCGAACTCGAGAGTTGGAAAATCTGCCTAATTTGAGTGAATCGGGAGCAACTGTTGCTGCTGCAAATCAAGAGAATGAACCGGAGACTCTTGAAACGTGTCGAAATGAGAGCCAAAGCGATTCGTCTGCCGATCAAGAGAATGCAGTTGAAGAAGAGGGAACATGGAAGCCTGATAATGAGAAGGAAGGGAAGGGGATGAATATTGTTGGCAAGGAAGAAAGCGAGAGAAAGCAGATGTTAGAGAAGATACAGGAGGACAATAAGAAGATGACGAGGTTTATGGAGGCGGTGTGGGAGAGGTCCGAGTTGCAGACTCGGATGTTGAGGGCTTTGGCTCAGAGGGTGGGGCACCTGGAGAAAGCATACATGTGTGACAAATTGAGGAGAAAGAAGAGGAGAAACAATGATAAATGTGGAGGGAAGAGATAGGTTTATGACTTGGATCCTCCATTTTTTTTATTTCTTTTATGGTTTGTTGTTTTTGACAATCCTGTATGTTTGCTTCCAAGTTCCAATTATGATGAGAAATTGAATTGTTTGCTTCAAATTGATATAGTTCCAACCATTACATGATTACTACATTTGGTTTTTCTGCAATTCATCTCTTCCCTACAGAAATCCATCAAATAAAGATGAGGATTATTAGCATGGTGGCAGAATAGGGTTCAACTTTTTGGCCTAGGCTCCAAGACCTTTCTTGATCTTCTTAATAGTAGGAACATTAGTTTCAAACCCTTTAGCAAGGATGTTATCATCGATGCCGGTGGCAAAAACGGTGGACGGTACCAAAACGAAGGCTGAGACATCCATGGCTGGGGTATCGGAGCTCGGATTATACTGGTAATGCAGAAGTCCTTTCGGGAACACAAACATGACAAGAAACTCAGTGTTTGGCTGTAAAGTTTTCCGGTAGTGTCGTTGAAATGGACTTTGAGAATTCCATCGACGACGATGAGGAGCTCGGCAGCACAAGGATGGATGTGAGGCGGATTGAGGGTGCCTACTGAGTACTCCAGAGTGGCAAAGGAGACACTGGTGCCATTAAGGGCCGGAAACACGGCCATGTTAGCTTTGGTAGCCTTTAAATCGGGTGGATTAGCAGCATCAAATGTCCCACGAAGTGTCCAATAATTAAAGAAATTTCCATCGAGGGTGGGTGAGATTTTAGGGCCGATGAAGTCCGATATGATATCAGGATCACCTGCACACACCATTGCTGCTAACAAAAGGAAACAGATCAACTTGCATAAAATCGATGCCATTTTCGCTTGCAAACGAAATTGGAACTCGGTGCATTTGTAGAGTTGGAACATTTTAATTTCCATTGGCCGATGCTGTTATTTCTTTGCCAGAATAATCTGAAATAATTTCTACATCAAATATGCATATGTTTCTAAACCTATATGTAAACATCAGGAGTTTAGGTTGCTTCACACGGCCGAGTTTCATTCATGAACAATCAAAATTTCCAGGTAAAAAAGATGAATGATTTTGATGTTTGGGGTGGGGTAGATTGTTCAAAAATCAAAGATAACAATCATATAAATCTCTCAAAAATTTAATACACTACAAACCAACAAAAACAAAAACAAAAGCCAAATATCAGCAATTGAAACGGTTTAGCAACAGAGTGGTGATAGATATGAAGATGAAAGCAGTAATGGAAACTCAGTGCGGCGGTGACCGGAGCTCGGAAACCTATCCGGAAGTAAACATTCTTCGCCATTGAAATACACCTTCGAAGGGAACCCATAGCCTTCTCGAACTGCTATATTGGGTGTGTTTTCTTCGTGAATGAAATCTCAGATTGTTGTTTCCCGGGGATTCTCGGATCATCTGGTGTAGTCCCATTTTTCTCTGCCAACAAGAACTCCAAGCCCTTCAAGCCATGGAAGAAGATTGTGTTAACGTTTTTCAACATTTTGGTTCCGTTAAACGAATACGCTCCATCGAAACCTCGGTACGCTATATCCTATTCGACGGCGACGTACCAGGCGATGAACGGAAGGTGTCCCCAATTGAAAAGAGTCATCCTCGCCGTCCATTTGTCCTTGTCATCGGAGTTGAGATGCCAGTTTATACTGACCCCGCAGTTGTCTGGACAGGGCAACTTACGAGGGACCTTTTTGTTTTTTATTTCCGCGAATTCTCGAGCTTTCTCCGTACGATTTTCCGCAGGGAGAAGGAGAGCGTTCGGCGGGATAAGCAACGCCGGCCTGTCGGTATTGCATTTATGGGCGTCGGTGTAGACCTCGTCGCATCCGCAAGAGCACGTGGGGCAGGGAATGGCGGTATCGCTGTAAAAAGCTGTGAACGAAACGCAACACTTGGATTTGTCCGGATCCGGTTTCGTAATGTTGCAGACGACTTGCCAACTCGCGACTGCGAATACCTTCGCTTCGAGACCCGACGGTTCGGAGAATTCCGACGGGTTTACTCTAACCGGAGCTCCACGTTTGTAACCAGCGCTAAGATACCCCGTAATGTTCCAGTTTTGCGGCGGATGCAACACTGTCTTCGAAACATCCGGGGGCAATTTATAGACTCTTAATTGAAGGACAGCTCGAGCTTTGTTTTCGTCCATCCATGGCGGAAAAAGAGTCACGTTTTTACAGCAATAAGGGATCTTACCAACCCTGGAATCGTTTGCCTTCCTAAGAGGTAAGTCGGTAATCGTCGGAGTTTTATCGCAGTTCATGACTTGAGAGAAATCGAAGCTTTCGAGGTATTTAGCGGCAGAGCCGTGAATGCACTCAGAGTGATCGATTCGGGGAGTGTAGGCTCCTTTCATGGAGTAAATGAACTCGCCTCTCATCCATTCCCATGTCAGGTTCCATCGATCGCGTTTGCCGATGGGACTGTTGTTGTCCATCGTCACTTGTACCCGGTAGTTACCTTGGTATGATTTCAGTACATCGTACATGAAGGTGAGATCTCCGTTTGGCTTAGGCATGTACTCGCTCGTCATACTCCTGCCTTCCAATTTCGGCTCCTTCTTGCACCATGCGTGCATGTAGGTTTCTATAGGGAAATAAAGGGGGTTAAAATAAGGGCGTTTTTTTCAAAAAAAAAAATTATCGGTGACCAGTATATTTATAGAAAGAGTATTTGAGAGAATATGGTATAGCATCACGTGTAAGATAAACAACTATAGCGCGCACGTATAATCCATGTCAGTGTATAGCGTGGTACAGGGAGCGCGCTATACTCCACGTGGCGCCAAATCAGCATATAGGGCGAGATAGGAATCGCGCTTTACTGCTACGGGTGTTATATCGAAAAATATAATCTGACCGATATTAGATCGGTAAATATATCGGTCACCGGTGATTTTTCGATAAAAAAGCCTAAAATAAGAGCAACAAATAAAAAATATTAGCTAAGAGATGTCTTCCACACACCGTTACAATTGTCCATTCCCGGTAGCGGCGCCGGACCAGGAGCCTTTTTCTCCTCATTGGCATAGACACCGTCATCTCGAGAAGCGCCATTACAGACTTGAGTTCTCATACCGATCAAGATTAGTGCAAGAAATAACAGGTTCATGCATGGTTTTCCTATCTTCATTTTCCCCCTCCAATCCCTTTATTATTAGTACTATTATTCTGTTGGCCAATGCTGAAGAGCCTAGAGAGCGGAGGAGGAGAACAGGGGAGAGAAGTTAGCCGCGCGGTCACCACGCGACGGAGGGAGAAGAGAGGCGCCTAGGCTGTGAAAGAATTGTGAGTGAAACTCTACGAGATAACAAGGTTACGAAGAAGAAGAAAGAACACGAGGGATATTAAGTAAAACTAAATTCTCTGCCTCTAGTTTTCTGCTGTTTTTAGATTGCTCGTCTAAAGATTCTCAATGGCCAACAAATTCCTTGTTTTTCTCACAGATAAATGGCTTAGATTATTCTTTGATTTGTGGATGCCTGTAATGGCGGTTGAAGCAAACCATATATCATATAGTATGTTCCAAGTTTTAACTTGGTTTATTTTACGAGCAACATCATTTATATTTATCACAGAGATAATCCTTCTAATTTAATTTGTTTTATTCATAATTTAACAATACCCCAGCTTTCCCAGACTGATTGATGAATGTACTTGGTATATAGATATTTGGACGTTGGAACCTATTCTGATTTTTTAATTCTGAGGCTGTTCATGGTGTTCTGCAGCAATGGTGGCTTAAGGGAGATTCGGCGCTGGTTATGCAAACATATCGAAGACAGAGTAGAAGAGAAAGCAAGCAGTACTTCATTCAAAGGCATGCAACAACAAGGAAACTACATGCTAAGCTTTTTTAGCTATCAAGTTATACTGGAGATTATTCCATTTCCTGCCATTATTCAAATCCCTCATCTCCATAGCAACTTAGAAACTACGATCACAGCCATCGGTATCGATATTACGAGACTAAGCGTCGACAGTGTCGGCAGAATCGGCAGCGGCCAAGATCAGCTCCGGGTGAATGCTTCCCACATATGTTCCATCAAGTGCATTAGGCAATCCTAATGCCTTGAGAGCCAGATGAGCTGCCTTTTGTCCTGATATCATCATTGCTCCGAATGTTGGCCCCTGTAGAAATCAACACTGTGCGTCACTAATGGACCTAAAAAGCATCAATGATTGTTGTGCAAGTGAAAAGGGGGAAGGAATTTTACCATCCTTGGAGATCCGTCAATCTCTGCAACTTCCATCCCTGTAACAATCATCCCGGGCACGATTTCCCTAGTCAGCCTCACGATGGCGTCCTCCGCCGTGTTCATATCTAGTGCCTTCATCCCCGGCACGCTGTCGATCATTCCGATACTCTTCAACCTCTTGACCCCGGTGGCGCCGAACGGTCCATCGTGTCCACAAGAGCTCACCACCACCTTGGCCTCCATCACATTGGGGTCCATGCAGGACTGTGTGTCATGGTTCATAGACACCAGGGCCCAGTTCGTCACAACGCCACCGACTCTCCCTTCCTTCACTATCAGATCCTCCGCCGCCACCGCGTTGAACAGCTTCACGTTGGGGCGGGCCAAGAGCTTGCTCATGATCGTTGACGTGAAAAGGGCTGCATGTTTGATCACAACGTAGTCGTCTTGTTCGTCGTACTCGATCTCGAGTTCATCGAGGAAGCGATGAGCCGGTTTCCTCACGACCTGAATAAACACGAGTTTTAGACAATTTCACGGCCTTAAAAATCACAACTTTAGTTCAAATATCGCAGATTTAAGTTCAAAACAGAAGATAATTTTACCATGGCAGAGAAAAGCTGTCCACCGAGCCAGGCGCCGCCACCGGGGCTAACAGATTGCTCGATGATAGCGACCTTCACGGACGGGTTCTTGCTGAGCTCGTAGGCGCAAGAGAGCCCGGCGGATCCGGCACCGACGACCACCACGTCCGTATCGGCGTAGGTGATCATGTCCGTCATGTACCTACGCGTCATCTCGCGAGACACGATGGACTCCTTGATGGGGTTGAACCTGAAATTGTTCAGATCGTACGGTGGTGGCGATGTCGCCGACATGGATACCGATGCGTTGCATGGGGAAGATTTTGCTCTGGGGTGAAATGAAAAGGCCTTCATTGGAACTCCATGGAAGGAAGACTCGAACAGAACATTGTTCCCGGAGAGTTTAGAAGACGGGAGAGATGAAGTGAGAGTTGTAGCCATGGAGGAAGCCATCGATAGAGAAAGAAACAAGAGGAGAACGCTTTTTTTTTTATGTTCCTTTGAAACTCAAAACAGATTACAACGCAGACAAGAAGCCAAGAGAGTGACAAAATATATAACAGAGCAAGGAGAGTGAAGAAATATCTGACGGGACACGTGGCAAAAGGATAGGGTTTGAAGGTTCTAGAATCGTTTGGATTTTTATATATGGAATTAACCGGATATTTTTACATTTACATAATACAATGCAAGCACAATGGTACAAATATTCCATATTTAATTTTTTTTAATAAATAATATTTTATTTTATTTTTATTACCCATATTATTTTGATAAATTTTAATACAATTTATAAGTTGATTTTTTTTAAGTTTTGGTTAATTATGATGCATATGAGCCATGCCACATTCAATGAAATCAAATATGATCAAGAAAGATGGTGCATTTGGATTCAGCCAAATTGATGGCTAATGGCACTCCCACCCCACTCTCTCTTTTATGTCATTGTCAAATGACTCAAAAGAGGCTTATGTGAAGAGCTTTTTGGTGATATTTTTTCATCAAAAAACTATTTAACTTTTGGTACGTCATTCATTTATCATTTTGTGAATTTGAGTTCTACTTTATTATAAAATATCTTGGATTTTCCATGGGAAATTGTACGTTTTTTGAAAAATAATAATAAAAAATTGTAGAATTCAAATTACCAAAATGGTATGACAAGTGGCTGTTGTCTGTAGCTACTATATGAGAAATTAAAAATTGTATGGGATTCCTTGATTGGAAATTGAGCAATTCATTCACAGGTGAAGATAAAGCAGGTTCATAAATGGACAGAAATGCAAGGCCATTAAAGGTAATTTGTGGAGCACTAAGGTTACAAATTCAAACATTTTAAATCTCATTTGGGTTAATTTAGTTATTCATTTATAAGGACAGAAAAAAAGTCATTATAGGCGGGCTTAATTATAAAATAATTGTTTAAATTATATCTTTCTTCGAATAAGCATCTAAATTGTTTAAATTGTTTAGGTATTTAACTTTACAAATGTTATCATTTTAGGTGTTTGAGTCATAATTATCATTAATTTTCTCTGTTAAGTAACACATGTCATATTCTAGTAATTTTAATTTTTTCAATAAATAAAAATATTATTATATTTATTAAAAACTCTAACTTTTCTTAAATTACAAAAAAAAACTCAAATACCTAAAAATTCTAAATCTCTAATCCTAACTCGCTATCGCCACACTTTTCGGTCATGACCACCGCCACTGACGTAATATATGTCATCTTCCTAGTCATATGTCGTCGTATTTGTTGTTGATTGATTGTTGGGATCACATGGGATCATGGTTTTTAGCCTAGGATTCGCAGGGTATAAAACATCGAATATCATTCAATTGGTCGTAATTTCATAGGGTTATTGATCGTCGGGAGAGGTAAGGTTGGGTAGAGCTTTATTGACGATAAAGGGTGACGGGCAATGTGGATTTAGGAGTTGAAATGGGGATTTTCAAAGTTTTGAGGCTATTTTCAAAATCTGTTTTTTTAAATATAATTTTAATTTTTAATTTTTAAATAATCTTTTTAAACTTATCAGAATGTGACATGGGTCACTTAACTGTAGATTTTAACGGCGTTTACGACCCAAGTATCTAAAATTGTAACATTTGCAACGTTAGGCACCTAGATGATTTAAAAAAAAGTTCAAACACCCATTTGAGAAAATATGGTATAGTTTAGACAATTATTTTATAATTAAGCCTCGTAGGTAATTAGAGGAACACTTAAAGTTACAAATTCAAATATTTTATGTTTAATAGTTCGCTGAGACCTTCAATTTCTAAAAATAATCAATCCATACCCTAGATTTTTTTTTCTTGTAATTAAATCTTTAAACTCAAAAAATTAATCAATATCATAACATTTTAATCTGATTCAATCCGAAATTCAGAAGATTAAAATATTACACGAAATCACCAAAGTGACTAACCAATTTTTTAAAATCAATACTCATAATCTTCATTTAAAAATCAATAGTTCAAAACAATCATAAATCGAAGCTCCGTAACACATAGCTTATATCAAATAATATAACTAAAAGTTTAGAAATCCCAATACATAAGTAAGGGTCCTATACATAAGTAAGGGTCCTATGAATACGCATGCCCACTACAGTAACCAACCAGTACTCTATAAGGAGCGCTGGAAATCCTACTATGACAATGCTCCTCGAACAACTCAATATACTAACTTGTGAATGGAAACATCCGAATGATTAGCTTACAAAGCCCAGTAATGTAATCACTAATCTAGAGCAACATATGAATCTTATTAACATAAGCATGCTAGAAGACATGGTAATAAGCAGTAGGTATATGCATGATCCTAATCAAGTTCTATCTACTTAATGTTCAATAGTTCTACATCTTTAGTGTAAGTCTCACGCTTCCCTTAGTCACTGTTAAGGGCCTCGTCATGAGTAAATGTATATTAGGTCTCTAACATCAGTATCATCTTACTAAGCATTATCATACAACACACAATGATAGTACCTGATATCACAAAGACGTCGGGTACAATTACACAAATAAGGGTATGCATCATGGTGTAGTTGAAGGGTCACTTAGCATCTCGAGATTCACCCCTATATCCTACCCAAGGTACCCTAGATAAGACATGAGTTGCATAGCATTAGAATCTTTATCTAGAAAGGCTCTTATTGCCCAGTACCTAGGATACCTCTGGAGTCACATAGCATCAGAGTTTATGTTCTGCTAGTCTATTCCTTTAAAGTACTCGAAACGTGTCTAGGTCACATAGCATTAGTACAACGTTTAACTAGAGTTTGAAGTGCCATCGCACTGACTTGGATATGTTCGGATATTTTATACACACAAGACGATCGTCGTACTGCTAAAGTAACTAGAGTGTCTTTGTTGTTTCTCGCGTGTCACACAAAGACTAGTTTTATGGGATCTTACCTCATAAGGTTCTTATGACTATGACACATGTATCATTATTATCTCATCTTTATTACCAAGCTATGCTAAAGAGCTAAACGTCTCAACAGTCACATCAACTAATGTCTTAAGGGCAATCGAAGTAGCTTAACTACTCACTGTCAAACTTATCAAATTTAGGTGAGGTCATCTCCTCACTCCATACTAACTCACTCATTCTCTCATCTAGAATGTTATGCATAGGTTCATTAGTATTGTAGTGTTTCATGCCCTTAAGGCAGATGATATTCGTCACTACCCACTTGGCATTATTACTAGTCCAATATTCAGTTCATGGTTGGTTCATTAACAACGATTCTCTAGCCATTCTCATCATACTTCTTCATCAGTTCACTCTTAAATTGGATGTTCACGTAGTACTCAATTTCCTCTATCGTGCTGTTAACGTCATTTATCGTCTCACTCACTGGTACATCTTTAGAACAATCATTCGTTCATGATTACTCAATACGTGTTCAATTGAAGATACTTAGAAGTATTACGTCTAGTATGGTTACTTCAGTCGTAACCCACTTCTAAGCATTTTTCTAGGCACCTTTTATCATTTAAGTCCTTCACGGACTAAGTCTGACAATTATGTGTCATCCTTAACTCTTACGAGCCTTGACGAAGTCAAATTTAACCATCCAAAATGAGTACTATTGATACCCTACATGTAGTATCGATACTCCTAGGTCAAGTATCGATACATCTTTGAGTATCAGTACAAAAAATGACTGCTGGATTGCAAAAATTACTCCAATATCATTACTATTACCCTTAGTATTGATACCAGGGCTACAATATCGATACTTCTCCTTAGAGTATCGATACTCCATATATAAAACGTCTAGAAATCATCTAAGTTCATATAGTATCGGTACCCTAACCTAGAAAACCTAAAAATAGACTTGGAAACCCCTTAAAAATCTTCCTAAACACTCTATGTTGGCCCCAAATCAACTTCTAAAGCTTCAATGAGTTATTTAGAGCTATTTAACACTTTAAAAATACAAGTTGTACACCAAAAATGCCATTTAATGCAAGAATCAAATAAAATCCTCAAATATGATTAAATTCTCAAATCTCTAACCATAAATCATATGTAGGAAATTCATAACACAACAAATGATTAGAAATACATTACCTTAGCTAGGGAATCCAAAATGAAGATCATTTATTCAACCACATTTGTTTCCTTATTTTTCACTTGAATTTGAGCACTCAACCCCCACATTTGTTGCTGAATGATTTAAAGACAAATTTAAAGTTCAAAAGAAGTTTAAAAAGGCTCAAGAAACTTACCATTAGTTGGAGCACTTAGAGGGGAAAAAGGAGAAGAAAAAATGAGAAGAAGCATAATGAAGAGAAGAATATGAAGGATGATATAAAACCCTCAACTTTTCACAAATGAGAGAATCACACTTTTGGTCCTTCACATTTTCTTATATCCAAAACTCCCATTTTTTATAATCTTTTTTAGCCCAATTAGACTCTCGATCAGCCCAATGATTTTAATAACTACTCCATGAGATCCACAGAACTTTCGGGTAAATCCGAAACTACTGACTTGAAATTTGAGGTGTTACAATAAGATCCTTTGATTGACGAAAAATAATATTGATCGTTATTGTAATGACGTGATAATTCATACATAAATAATGATGTGATAGAAAAATTTATTCAATTTATCTAAAGATTTGAGGGCCTTATGAATCATTCAATAAATATCTTAAATATGAGTTGGATTAATTTTGGTATTCATTATTAAGGACATAAAAACAAAGTCATTAAAAGTAATTTGAGGAGCACTTGAAAGTATATATAAGGAGGTATATTTAAGATTAAATTTGATATTTAACATAAATTAAAATAACAACTTTAATTAGTATATCATAGAAATTCATTATCTCTTTCGAATGAGATGTTTTACGAATTGATATAGGAGTGATAAGCGAACCAAATAATATGACAGGTTGTTTCATTACATAATTCTAATTACACCGGTAAACAACCTTTTTCCAAAATGGAACAATCATCTCACCCAAAGTTCCAGAAGAAAAAGGGTCACATCTAA